CACTGGAAACAACCTTGATCCACTCTTTAATGGAGTTCAAAACGGAAGCCCTGTAATCATCACCAACCAGGTCATGTACTTTAGCCTGCCATCCAAATAGGAAATTTGCTGTTACAAATAAAGGTGACACATAATACAAAAGATAAAGGATGTAAACAAACTTAAAGTAAGTTGCTCTTATTTGTGTGTGCACACACAAGCCTAATAATTATAAGGTTGTCAGTGATAATATTGTAAAGAAACAGAGAATCACAGTGAAAGCAAATGACTTTGGCCAAGCATTGATTGCATAGCAAATCACACATTCACCTTCAGAAGCAAAAAGATGGCAGAAGCATATGCATCTTCCGTCATAGAAGTAAATCCAAGACTTCTGAGGTCACGTACAACCTTTCCAATATTCTTCACCAATTTGTTAGTCTCTGCAAAATTCCCTTGAAGATAGCATTCGTCAATATCCATTGCGCCATTCCTATGTAACATTTTCCCCTTCTCATCTAAATCCATGTCGTCTTTATCATGAGAATCATCATCATCATTGCCATTAAGCTCTCCATCCATTATTGAACTCAGCTCCTCCAGTCTTCCCTTAAAATACCAGTGTAGTATTTCTAAGAACATTATAAATCACGGAAACAAGGCTGCAAATTAACCTTACTAAAAAAACATTTTCAGTTACAAATAAATCCCTAATAAAGAAAAAAACTAATTCCTAGGCATGCATACCGGGAAAATGGCGAGGAAGACTAGCCATAAGAACCGAAGAAACCATCAATTGATACTTAGAAAAAAGATATTCTCTTTCGTCATCGGAATCAGGTTTTCCTTCCAGTAATAAAGCACGAACTAACAGCAACAAACACTTCTCCTGATACTGTTTTTCTAACGAAATCTCTTCAAGTGCTCTACACAGAACTTGCTGCAACTCATCTTCATAATTAATTCCTACATTGTTATAACAATCAAAATGCCGCCAAAATTTTGACGCTAAATTTTTCTCAAAAGCTTCCTGTCACAAAAAGTAAATAAACAAATAAAAAAACACATTAAATTGCAAAAAAGCTTAAACTGATCCTTCAAAGAAAGCATTTATATACGAAACCTCTAGTGACTTGAGAAAGAAATCGCGAACAAGAGAGAGGAGGCCGTGCTTGCAGAGAATTTGAACGTGAGAGAAGAAATCGGAGGCGTCGCCTCCGTGGAGAAGAGATTCGGTGGCCGAACAGAAATTGGCGTAGCTGTCAAGAATTTCTTGAATTGAATCATCGGTGAGTGTGTCTAGAATTTCTAGATGGCTTACTAATGATGGAGTTGATTCTTCCATTCTTTACAAAACCCTAGAGAAAGAGAGTCGTGAGCAGAGGAGTAAAATTTGAGAGGGAGTGGGAAGATACAGCATTTCTATGAATTGATTTCCTTTTATAATTTGGTCCTCACATCATACATATTGTTTGAAGATAGTATAACGTTAAGGAATGTTGTCGATTAAGTACAGAATAGGATGTTGTTGGATGGCTGTTATGCATCCGTTAATGTGGTTGGTATCGGCCCAATGCCCCGTCTATACGTGACCATGAATTCAGAAAATTTTTTATAATATACAAAGAGTGATTAGTGGCATATGCATGTAGCTTACTTTATAGACTCACTATTAGAAGAGAGATAGACACATTAAATTATATCTGGACCTATCAAAAATGATAAAAAGATTTTTAAGTTCACTCAATTTTTTTTAATTTTCTCTCTCATGTTTCTCTCTTCTTTTCTGTATCTATCCTGTTTTCTCAAAATGGATCTATGAAATAACTATTATGCATATCACTAATTACTTTTTGTATATTATAAAAATTCTCATGAATTCAGTGCCGCTTTTCTCCTGTCCAGATTTTCTTGTGTTTTCAACGGTTTTTAGATTACTTTTTTTTTTTTTATTCTGGTTCTTAATTGTAATAATAACCACAAGTTTGCATTCAAATTTAAACCTTTCTTTTTATCAAATATTTAAATTCAATTTTATATAATAACTTTTTAATTAAATTTATATTTTATAGTATGAAATATAAATTTAGATTCTAGTTTTTTATTGTAATCATAAGCAAGTTTGCATTCAAATTTAAACTTTTTTTTATCAAATATTTAAATTTAATTTTATATAATAATTTTTAATTAAATTTATATCTTATAGTATGAGCGGTTCAAGAATTATTATGAATATTTAAACATTCATTATTCATAAATGTAGATAGATTTTATCAGGACACATAGATAAAATATAATAAATGATCACAATATTTATAATTTTAATTTTATGATAAGATATATTGTTAATTAATAAGATTTTTTTTCTTTTGAAAATGAGTTTTTTCTATTCTAACTCATAACAAGAATATATTTTTTTTAAAAAAAGAGAAAATATCTTAGTTAATTAAAGTTATCTTAAGTTTAAATTTTAAGGTACATTAATGAGATATTGAACTCCTTGTAGAATCAGTTTTTACTAATTTATTAACATTCGAAAAATTAATTTCATCTAATTTTGTTTTATAGTATCAGTTTTCGAATTTCAAAAGAAAATCGAACATTCTAAAACTTTCTTTTTTGTATATGAAAAAGAAATAAGGAAAAAAAAGTCTTCTAAAATAAATATATACCAACTCTATTTATAGGTGAAATCTTAATTGTACTTCGAATCTCTTTGCCCTACAATGAGATTCCAAACCTTATCCTTGAAAAAAAAAAAAAAGAAGTCGCTGCCTTATTTATTTATTTATTATTATTATTATTTACTCCCTTGCCGCACAGAGACGTTAACATAGCCGTTGCTGTTACAGAATGTGACCGTTAGAGCCCCAAATTCAAATATGCACAGACAACAAACCTGTCAAAACACAAGAGATACCCCACTGGCCACCACTGTCAAAAAAAATGAGGGAAGAGGACCAACAACAACCATCAACACCAGAAGAGTTAATGCAAGAACTCAGATTCAAAGCCACGGAGCTTCTCCTCAGAGAAGAATTGCAAGAATCCGTGAAAGTCTACACTCAGTTCATCAATATTTGTCAAGACAAGATCTCTAAGACACATCAAAACCAACCAGAACCAGATCACCTCAACGGGCTCCAGAAATCCCTCTGCTTAGCCCTGTCAAACCGAGCCGAAGCACGTTCCAAGCTGAGAGATTTTACTAAAGCACTCAAAGATTGTGATCAGGCATTGAAAATTGAGAGTACCCATTTCAAGTCCCTTGTTGGCAAAGGCAAAATATTGCTTGGTTTGAACAGGTATTCGAAGGCCTTGGACTGCTTCCAAACAGCTATTCTTGATCCACAGGCTAATGGAAACCTTGAAACTCTGAATGGGTACGTGCAGAAATGCAAGAAACTGGAATTTCAATCGAGGACTGGAGCTTTTGATCTCTCCGATTGGATCCTGAGTGGGTTTCGTGGCAAGTCTCCAGAGCTTGCTGAGTACATTGGTCCAGTGCAGATCAAAAGGTCGGAACTCAGTGGAAGAGGCCTGTTTGCAACAAAGAACATTGATGCAGGGACATTGCTGTTAGTGACGAAAGCAATTGCCACAGAAAGAGTTATATTGTCAAGTCAAGATTCTGATGAGAATGCACAATTGGTCATGTGGAAGAATTTTGTTGACAAAGTTGTAGAATCTGCTACTAAGTGTGAAGAAATTCACCGTTTGATTAGCACATTATCAACTGGTGAAGATGAGGACAAGCTTGAGGCTCCTGAAATAAGTCTCTTTAGGCCTGAGGCAGAGGAGAAGGGAGAAGCGAATGAGGAGGTTGATAAGGTTAGGATTTTGAGCGTATTGGACGTGAATTCTCTTGTCGAGGATTCAGTCTCTGCTAAAGTATTGGGGAGGAATAGTGATTATTATGGCGTTGGGTTTTGGGTTCTAGCTTCATTCATTAACCATTCATGTAATCCCAATGCTAGGCGCTTGCATGTTGGGGATTATGTGCTAGTTCATGCTTCTAGGGATGTTAAGGCAGGTGAAGAGATCACATTTGCATATTTTGATGTGCTTTCGCCATTGAGCAAGCGAAAGGAAAAGTCAAAGACATGGGGTTTTCATTGCATTTGCAAGAGGTGCAAATTTGAAGAAGAAATATGTTCTAAGCCAGAGATGAAGGAAATAGAGATAGGACTTCATAGAGGGATTGATGTGGGCACTGCAATTTTTAGGCTAGAAGAAGGTATGAGAAGATGGATGGTGAGAGGGAAGGAGAAAGGCTATCTGAGGGCATCATTTTGGGCTGCATATGTTGAAGCTTATGGCTCTGAGAAATCAGTGAAGAGGTGGGGAAGACGGATTCCGGCTGTGGACATAGCAGTGGACAGTGTTGCAGAAGCAGTGGGATGTGATGAGAGAGTACTCAAGGTTTTTACGCAAGCTTTTAAAGGAAATGGCGCTAGTTTGGTAGATATGGAGAAAGCACTGAAGTTGGGACGAGGAGTACATGGAAAGGTGGTCAAGAAACAAGCCTTACGGTCTCTCCTTGACTCTGGCACTCGTGAACATAGGCGCTATTGAGCTAATAGCTATGGCAAGATTTTTTTTTTTTTTTTTCCCTGTAAGTTCATTTTATGTTTTGTTTTGATCCATATTTGACATGATCAATAGCTTCTGTTTTCTGGCTCTACGTCCAAAACTTAGTTTGAGCTCCCAATTATAAAAAACACGTCTCTTGCAATGTTGGATAAAGACTCCAAATAGGTAAATTACTTTTGAGTACTTAAAGTGAAGTGCCCATCAGTATGAAAACATCCATATTAAATTTAGAATTCCTTGGAAGAAATGGGCAGACTGCAGAACTCTAGTTTTTTTCCGCAATCTGACATCAGCCACTTGAACCCCAAAACCATTTGGCGACACTTCTAATTGCAATATTGAGCCATGCAGCAAAAAATTTTCCCATTTCCTTTTAGTCCTTGGACGAGTGAATCAATTTGCCACTGTTGGGACACGGGAATTGAGCATTAACCCAAATTAGGCATACGAAAATGCTTCATTATCAATACCTGGCAATATATATATATATATATATATATATATATATATATATTTCGTTAATTAGAAAGAATATAATCTACTTTTCCCTCGTTACAAAAGTAAAGATCTAGTTTATTTCTGTTGACAGTAAGAAATGGTGCCTGTAAAAGAACAAAAAAACCCATGACGAATGCAGTTACGTATCCTCTAAAGCATGTTTTTAAAAAATGGCCGTTACGGTATAATGGAATTGATAGTATAATATTGATAGAGATAACTGCCGTTATACTCGTTTTCTACCAAAAAAGGGCATTATCCTCCATTGATGCTTAGATTTATGCTTTCAATTTTCAGTCACGTTTAATTGAAACATAAAGAAAAAATTTTGAGAGGGAGAATCGGTTTTTTAGGAAGATTAAGGATGCTGTTTTCAATATAGAAAGGCAAAAAAAAAAAAAAAAAGAAGGAGAAGAAGAAGATGAACTGGTGCTGTAGTAAACAGAAAAAAGACAGCAAAACGTATATGAGGAAGAATAAGAGACTTCCGAGAGAGGCCGCAGGAAGTGGATTTAGGTTTGAACTACAGATATATTAGTATTTAACTTATACATACTGTTTTAATATTTTCTGCCGGACCCATGCTTTTAAATAACCTATTGGACCTATTATTTTTTATACAATTTTAATTGGATTCATCTTTGTTATATTTTTCAAAATGATATTATTGGGCTAAGTTTTGGACTTTGATATTTTTTTATTTTTTATTTAATTTCTTTTACTTTGTATAATTTTAAAAAATTAATAATATTTTTATTTTTCTAAAAAAAAGAACAACTTATAAGTCAATTATTCTTCCACTCTAGCAACTAATAACTAAATTATAATTTTATGAACCATAATTTGAAACTCAAGTTAAATTAAAATTTAATTTTTAATAGTTTCGTTATTATTGAATTATAATGGTGTGTGTACATATATAACTAAAAAATGTTATATGTTTATCTAATAAAACTATCAAATTAACATGCATTATGAAAATTGCTAAACAATTCACAATAATAATAGCCTCGACCGCTACATTTAGCCATTAAAATCTACATCCATTATCGTAATATGTTATCGTAACAGCAATCGCTATTTAAAATTATGCTGCATAAGAGGCAATCAAAAGGTGAATTATAACACCAGAGTTACTAAGGTACAGACTAGAACGACCTGAAAACCGACAATATCAAACGCCCGTCATTGTCACCAGCTTATTATAGAGAATGCGGTCATCCCTCCCAGTATTGCTCTCTAACAAAGCACTTTGCACAAGTTCCTGATGTTAAAAACAAAAAAAAACAACTATTAGAAACTACGAAAAGCACATCTGTGCAATTGCAACCCTTGATGAGGGGAGCTAAGAAGATACAGAAGCACAATTATCACCTTGACGTCCCTGTGGGAAAGAAATTTCCCCAAGCTGTGGATAATCAACCTCATGTCTTCAACCTGTATAGGCAACAGTTAATCCACAACACTCCCAGGCACAATAACACAGAGCAAAATAAGGAATTTTAGTCTTACCCTGATGTAGCCAGTTCGATTCCGGTCAAAAAACCTGAAAGCCTGTCCCAGCAAAGAAATATCAACAGAGGGTAGATGAAGGAACAATCCTGATGTTCTCAAATTGCAGAAAAAGAAAAGGGAATTAAGTTTCTGAGTACATACATCCAATAATTCCTTATCAATCACACCCTCCTTTCCAGACACCTCTTTCATCTCTGTCTCCACCTTGTCATCTTTTTTATCCGACAAATCTGCACCAGACTTGGGTTTTGACTCTGCATCTTTCATGTCAGTTTTATCCTCAGCCGCTTCCTCTGCCTTGTCTTTTTCATCGCCAGCCAGAGGTTCATCATGCTTAGCATCCTCACTGGTCTTTCCCTCATCTTTTTTCTGTTTACCATTTCACCCAATAAAGCAACTTAAACAGGATGCCGTACAGTACATAACAGAATCTTAATGAATTACAGGAAAACTAAACTATCATAAATCAACAACTTGAACTGGAAACCTTTAACATGCAACCCATCTTAGACTTCCCCAACTTGATATCTAACTATTTTGCATGAGAGAACTTGTCTGAAAGATTATAATATCTATAAAAAACTTAAGGAGTACGAAATCTTGCCTCATTAGATGAGTCATGCCCATGGTCATCCATTTCTTCATATTCTTCAGGATCCTCCATTTCTTCACATTCTTCAGGATCTTCCTCTGGGTCTTCCTCAGCTTCACTTTCTTCTTCCTGCTTTGGCTCATTAACAGGATCAACAGAAGTATCCTCCTCCATGACAATTTTTTCATCATCCAGCTGATCTGCACCTGATTTTTCACTGTTTGCAGATTTAGCTTTCACAGGTAGCTCACTAGTCCTCAGGCGCTTTCTTAATGATTCCTTGTCCTTGTCCTTTTCCTTCTCATCCATTTCCGACCGCTGCCTCTTGCGTTGATTTCTTTCTGTTACGAATTTTATTCGTAGCTTCTGCATATAAATATAAGAACATAGAAAAATGCCTTAGTAATGCCTTGGTAGATGAATCAAGTAGCGTTCATGCTGGTGGATTACCCATTACGAACCAACCTGGAGAAATGTCAAAAGACGAGAGCCCATTTGATACTGAAGCATTTCATATAGTGATTCAGCAAATAGTGAAAGCTGCAAAAGTAGTAGAGCAACAGTGGGATGAGGAAAGCAATTACATTTCTCTAAGCACTACAAAGAGATTCATTGAATTTAGGCATACACAAAGGGAAAATATAACACAGTATTATCAAGGCAAACCTCAAATGTTGATTCCTCAACGTCCTTATCAGTGTAATCCAAAAGTGAGTCCAGTGAAAGTGATAAAGAGCGCAGCTGAAGCAAAACATGCACCATTAGGTAATAATAAAAGTGTAGGTAAGATGTTTCATATCACCAGTTCTTTTTTTTTTTTTCCTGACAGTTAACGTAAGTTGCTTATGCAGAATATTTTAAATGTAGAGTTAACAAATATTTGCAAGGCAATAATCAAAACCTACTTTAGATTCCTTGTTGCCTTTTGTTTTCAAAATAAACCCAGGGTTTCTAGGAGGTTCTTCAGGCTTTCTCTTTTCCTTAACTTCTTTATTTGATTTGCTCCTGGACTCATCTTTTCTGTCTTTGTCCTTTTTCTCTTCCTTTGATTTTTCATCATCCTTCAACTTTCCTCCCTTGCTATTAGGACTATCCTTCGGGAAAATCTTTTGCTTGTCAGCCTTAACTTCAGTTTTGGTCCCTGAGCTGCTTTTCTGGTCAATTTCCTTTTCATCCTTCTTATCCTCCTGGAGAGCCTTGATCTCACTTGAATTAGGCACATTGGCTTGCTTCTCTGCAATAGGGGATTTTGACTTAGTATTACGAATTATTTTCTTCTCTGAATCTTTTGCGTCATTCTTCTGGTTTCCAGTTTCTGCTGTTTCCCCCCAATATTTTCTGTTTCTTTACCAGCCTTTGCAACCTTTTTCTCATCTTTTTTGTCATCTTTCTTAAGGTCACCAGTCCCACCACTGGCTCCTGCACCAGTGAGCTTTCTTTTAAGTACTTTCTTAATTATTTTCTTTTTTATGGTTGTTTTGATACCAGCACCTTCTGTAACTGCAGGACTGCTGGTATCTGAAGTTTTCTTTGGTTCTTCAGTGCAGTCCTCAGCTTTCATCTCAGACTGCAAGTCATTATCTTTATTTTGAGTAGATTTTCCCACTGGTACCTTTCTTATAACTTTTTTTCTAAAAGTTTTATCTCCAGAAGTATCAGCAGGAGATTCACTCTGCTCAAGTGAGATCTCAGATCTTCCAGAGTTTCCCTCAACACCCTCATCCGGAGGTTCATTCTTTTTGCTGATAGAATTCTCAGAATCAGCTGTCTTATTAATGACCTTCTGTTTCACAATTCTCCTTATGATCTTCTTTCCAGACTTCAGGGTACCAGCTGTCTGCAAAACAGTAGCTCCCCCTGATCCTTGTCAACATTCTTGCCTTCATCAGCTGTTTCAGGCTCGTCTTTTTTCTCATGTTTCCTGTCATTTTTACCACTTTTCTGTTCAGCAGCTTTACCTTTTATATCATTTCCGTCTTTATCCTTTTTGCTGACGACAGAAGATGCAGATTCTTTGATATTTTCCTTTTGTGCCAACTTCTTAGAATCTTTTGCAGAATCTATTCCTTTATCTGGATTACGAGGATGACGATATCAATTTTAATCATATAGTAACAGACATGGTGTGATGAAGTACAAGAACTTTCAATCTATTTACCTTTCTCCCCTTCCTTCTTCTCTCTAGCCCTCTGAGAGAAAAAGATTCGTCACATTAGCCCAAACATAACAATTGTCCAGTAATTTTACCGCATAATTCAAGGAATGAAAGGCAGTAACAGCAAGCCAGGAAGTAAGCTCATTTAACCAATCAGAAGAAAAAAATTAAAAAAAAAACAGAAAGCATATGGCACACGCTCACACATGTAAACAAACCTCTTTCTTTAAAGAAAGCTGATGTTCTCTCTCAGCAACAGCCTTCTTGTGAGCAAGCCATTGCTCTCGCCATGCATCTAATGAAGGAAGACATTCAGATAAATCTGGAACAAACAGAACAGTGACCTCTCTGTGGCTAAAGAAACCATCGATGCCAAATCTATCATAGTGTATCTGCAAATGCCAACAGGAGTCCAAAAATTAGCTCTCTGACTTTGAGAAACATGCAAGGAAGGAAGGACATAAACATCTCATAAACCCATAGAAACGGAAACTGTCCAGAAGGAAAATCTAAATTTCCCATGGCATAATCTCACAAACACTTTACAGGAATGAAATAAATATCTAACCGGGAAACAACCTGTTCTGCACTAAATTGACAATTACACTCAGTAATCTAATAAATAGAAGTACAGATAGAAATAAACACCTTTGGAAAATACATTTACAATTTATATTACACAAGATATAAAATAAATACCTAACCGGGGAACGACCTGTTCTGCACTAAATTGACAATTAAACTCAGTAAAAAAACTAATAGAAGTACAAATAGAAATAAAAACCTATGAAAAATACATTTACAATTTATATTACACAAGATATAAACATTACCAACCTAAAATCAGATAACATTTTCCTGGCACATTTTTGCTTAGTTGGAAACCTAAATTAGGCTGCTGACTCATTGGTAGTCCTATAAGATTTTATTAGCAGCCTTTCTTATTTAATTTTTTTCTTCTTTTCTTTCACTATGGAAAGAATATCTTGATAATTTTCTGTTTTCTTGCATAGACCTTAGTAATGATTCATATTGTCTGATGTTGGGTTTTTAAATGATTAGGCCTCTGCTTTCTAGTCATCCATGTTATCCAAAGAGTCCTAATTAATTAGATTCCAAAATATCCAACGTCCTACTAGATTAAAGACAGTCTGATTGTTCATAAAGATTGATGCAATAACTACAACGTTTAAAGTTTACCTTATGAGATTTTTAAATTTTGTTTAATTTGTGTGTTTTGAATCATACACCATTGTTCCTCTTCCCTATCTCCTCTCTTTAGATCTAAACTACCTCTATAGCACTTCAAATACTTTAACTGAACAGTGGACAACCCCAAAACTAAACTTTAATAATCTAAATTCAAACAATAGAAACCCCACTTCACACAGTATTTCTCAACTCATTCTAATATATTCAGACTATAGAAACTTTTCTTCTTAAAAGGCTTAATCACAAAATCTCACTTTCATAGAGCAAACAAAAATTGAAAAGGTTGTAATTCACATTATTATATTCAGTAGAAGCAAAATGCTACCTCAAGAAAACGATTCCAATTATGGCACTTCTGCAAATCAAGTTGAGTAACATCCTTCGCATGCCTACAAAGTAAAAATTGCTTCATTACAGAAAAAGGAATGAATGTCTAATATACCAATTCAATATAGAGTAGCCAGCACTAACCTCAGGGCTGTTTGAACTAAAGCAGAATCATCAACTGATGGATCACCTCCATCAGCAGAATCCCATGGTCCACCAAGAGCCATGAAAGAACGGTCCCTTTTCAGGACAGCAAACCTAAGAATATTGCAAATATGGGGTATGCGATCATCATATCTTTCCTCAGATGAGAGCTCCTCCAGAGAATTCTTGCTAAGTCCACTCATCAAAACTATCTGAACAAGGAAGACAATCACTCATTACCAAGCAGATAAATGTAAACAAGTTTACCTTACAAATCAATAATGATAACAAAGGTGTTAAGATTTAATAAAAAATGGTGAAAAGGTGAAATAACTGACATGAAGCATCGATAATCATGAGATTAAGAAAACTAAAAAGTAAATGTACAGGCAATATTAAATTTGAAACTAGGTAGATCTTTGCACTGATTGGGTATATTTGGATGAGACAAATGCTAAACATTCCAACTACTGCAGTTTATCTAATCAACTGCGTTGGGATAGTAGTGTATTTGGATTTCTTCTGGTGGTCTTCCTCAAGAGATGTTAAGGGAGTGTCTCTTGACTGATTTTTAGACAGATTGGATAGCTCTGTTTTCATGTTCTACTCTTATTCGCCAAACTGTTTTCCAGTCTGCTTTTCCCTTAATAAAAATAACGTATGAATCAGTTATAAAAATTTCAAGTAATGCTTTCTAGTAGTAGAGATCCATAAATAATTAAACAAAGAGTTTTGGGATGATAAAATACAGTGTCTAAAAAGAGATATTTTGCTCAAGGATTAAGCAACAAAAAATTATAGATTATAAGGTAAGTAACAAGCTGTGGACCACTTTAGACAATTTCACAATACAGCCCTCAAAGCACAGAGGTCAAAATATACACTTCTATGAATGGAATCCAATAATTAAATTTTGTTTGGCAATGCAACGTGAATCAAAAGCATCCAAACGTCTGAATGGGTTATAATCGTAACAAAATAACATGCATTCAATTCTATCGTAAATGAAAATTTAAATTTTTTTCGTGGCGCGGAGAATCATTGAGGCAAAGAAAAAGAAATAAACAATTTATTCAGGACCGAACTTGCTCAAATAAAGAAATTTAAATATCCAACAAAAAGTCTCCATAATCAGTTGTTATGACCAGTTAAGCACACAATTATAATCTAGGGCAGAATAATCCTTTTCTAGTTCATGTCAAACACTTGAGGCCACAGCATTTTGAAGTTTCATTTCCATGTAATTATCATCAGTTAAGTGCTGCACAGAAAAAATGCCTACCTTTGCATTCCAAACAGTGCTTCCATTCTCTGGTTTTCGAAGTTGTTGAGACAAACACATAGTGGACAGATCATTTTGTTCTGCTCCACTACCATCCTCAACAAAATCATGCTCAAAACTGTTCTTGACAAAAAAATCATGAATATTAGTTCATTCCAATCTTCCACCTTGCTTTACAAATAAAGTACAATACCAGTCATCACTCAACCCTTTGGATTGTAAAAGAAAACATTCAAATCCAAAAAAATATGCATAAATGGTTTCACAATGATGATAAACTAAAATGTGATTATGGAAGCAAGTACAAATAGAAAACTAAACAAACAAGATAAAAACTATTATGGATATCCCAGAGGAGAAAAAAATAGGAAACAGGAAAGCTATTTTCTAAAGGGTAAGGTACCTGACAGGGGTATGGATAGAAAGTTTCAAGTTTCCCTTTGGCCAGTTCACAATGACCTAAATTGAAAATGATATCAAGGTGAGACAAAAGGTTAACTATAAGAAATTGAAAACTGAAATGAAATTAGATATCAAAACCTTAGAAAATTCTGGAGATGCAAAAATTTTGGGATATCTCTTATCAATTGACAGATAATCCCTCTCTATAGCCACCAAACTGGACGTGCCAACCTGCAAGTAGACAGCATAAATTGCAAATATAAAGGAAATACATAAACACTTCGAAATGCACAAACATGGTGACAGAATAGAATAAACCACGATAACATATAAGTCAATAGCTGTAAGATTCCTCTCTTCCTGACAAGATACAATTCAACAATTTCAACAGCACATCAGCAACAACAGACAATTGTCCACCCAAAGCTACTTATTGTATGAGAAATTTCTGTATTCAACTAATGAAGAATTGCAAAGAAAGTCTGGAAATTAGCAATGGTGCTCTAAATGATGTAAGTATTTGGCCCAATTTGACAAATGAAGAGAAGTTCCAACTCATAGAAGATGCCCTAAGAAGCCAAGGAGCCACAAGAAGCAAAGATGAATTTAGACAAAATTGGAGGCAAACAAGGGATCCTGGGAATCAAACAGTCAGACTAAGAGCCAAAAGACCACAGTAGAGCAGTTTGGAAAGAGAATGATCAAACAACAGAAAAATCAGAAGGAAATGCAAGGTAGAGGAAGTCACTGGAAGTGAACGGTTCAACATAGAGCAGAAGACCCTGACCTTGCCAAGCAATATAAAAGGGAAGAAGGTCCAACTAGAGGCAAAAATGGGAAGAATCAAGACAGAATGTTATTAAGCGCACCAAAGGGAAAGAATAGTTCCTAGGATAAATTTTCTTATCAGCATTAAAAGACAATCTCTAATGCTGTTTTCTTTACCTTGCAGACATAATCTCTCCTTTTTTCTTTAACAGGTGAATGACGCCTTCAGCATAACAGAACAGCAAGTTAGTTACAAAGGCTGCCAGATGTACAAGCAGCTACATATTCAGAACAAGATTAGGACGCAAATGAAACATCAAGATCCACCTATGTGAAGCTTCATGGGTTGGAGAATCTCGTCGCAAAGATCTCCCGTCTTTCAGCAAAGAGGAACCGCGTCGATCCCTTGAAGCTCTTGGTGGAGTTCGCTCCCGCCTAATTTCAAGTCCACGTTTTCGCTCTCGCTCCCTTTCCCTCTCCTTCTCGCGCCGTTCCAAAATGCGCTCCCTTTCCCGCTTTCTTTCTCTTTCCCGTTCTCGTTCCCGTTCCCATTCCCGTTCCCGTTCCCGTTCCCTTACCCTTTCCCTTTCCCTTTCTCGATCTCGTTCCCTTTCTCTATCTTTCTCCCTCTCACGCAGGAGTTCTCGGCAGCGCTCCTCCTCTCTTAGCTCAAATTCTCGAAGATAGCTAGCTCTGTCATCCCTGCGCTCATCAATCCTTGGATGAGCACCGTGATAATCAGACTCAAGAGATGTTCCATGGAGCCCTTTTCCTGTACCGTAGTCCCTTCCTGGAGGCAAACTAACTCCATAGCCAGGATTTGATGAGCTTTGAGGATACAATAGATCGTCAACACTTCTCCTAGGAGCTGCCCCCAATATCGATGGAGCATGTTGCCCACTGTACGTAGAAGAACTAAGTAACGATGAATTGCGAGGATCGGAATCCATTCTTCCTCCAAAAGACATGAGATCTTGGGTGGTATGACGACTAGCAGCACCTCTTGCCGCAAGATAGTCAATTTGTCTGCCATAAATGTTTTGCTACTCAGTGTAATACTAGGTACATACCAGCTAACTTAGCAGTGCACAGACAATCACCATAATGAACAAGTCTAGTGTGGGAAGGACAAGGATGACCTTGCCTGTTGATCGAGGGAAAATGGATATGACTGGTAAATGACCATCACTACTTGCTACATGCATATTAAGCTCCATTTTTTATCAAATTACTTGGCCATGAAAAGTACCTGGAACCTCCATCAAGAGCAGCAGATTGCAAAGACTGAGGTTTCAATAACTGTTCTTGTCTAAGAATTGATGCTTGATCGATACGTTCATATATCTCAGGCTGTTAAATTAGACCACAGAAAAGTAGAAAGATTTATTATCTAAACAGCAACAGACTGTACTGAAACATGCTTTGTTCCAGAAATTTGAAAGAAAACAAATCAAATTAACAAAAAAATATCAATTTCAATAATAAGATTGAAATCAAAACCTGATGTTGATGACCAAAACCAACAGAATCAGCATATCGTGTAGCTGGATCACCTTGCATGTCTCTCCCAAGATATGCACCCTGTCGTTCACCATATGGTCGTCTATCTATTGCTGGATAATCAGGTATCTTCTCTGCAAACAATTGATCGCTTTTGTGTGCATATCCATGACTTGATGATGAGACATAGTCAGCAGATGAATATTTGGGAGAATCGGGCAGCGCTGAGGGATAGTTGCCACGACCATCTAAAGATAATGCTCCACTCCCTTTGACACTCGATGTGGGAGCCTACATGAGAACAAATTCCAAAAGAATCCTTAGATGATTAAGGCAGCAGATAGTTAAAGAAAATATTTGTCAACTCCTGGACTGACAACACAGCAGACTAAACTTACAGCCAAACTATCGAGGAGATCAAAAGAAAAGGAACATAAATATTGAGATGAAGTTAGTTTTAGATCAAAAACTTATTTTTTCATTTATTTATTTATTATTATTATTATTTTAATTCAAGATTTCAGGAACCACAAATGTAAGAGCATAAAAAAATTCCTACATTAACTTGTGACATAATCTTAGATCCTAAGAATATTGTAGCAACTAGCAAGTAGCATGCATTAAGTTAGGATATTATCATAATACACACAGTAACAAGAATTTCAATCCATGGTACCTATGAATTACTATAAAACACGCAAATAAGGGTAATAGAAAACATAACGCAAAATTAAGGATTCTGTCGAGGTATGGAAGAATCTTGAAAAGTGATTTCAAAGGTCACTATATTCCTTAAATTAGATAAAATGATTCAGAAATAACCATGAATAAGAGTTAAAAAAAAATAAAAAAAGACCTGTTGAGCACCACTCATGGCAGCTGAGCCATAGACAGTACCATATTGGCCCCCATAATGTGCCGTGGCCGAAGCATGGCCTCTGTATCCACTAACATCAGCTTCCTGAGGACCACCCAGAATCGACGAATGCCTAGAAGCCAATGAATGTTGAGAGCCCCCATCATGCCCCCCAACAGAGCTCCCAGAATATGCCGTTCCCAGCTAACCAAATATCAAATAAAAGATGAGAGTTTTAATCCACAACCCACTAACAACAGTACCATTTCATGCAAGCACCACAGATATATCCCGAATCAATCAAAAGTAATATCCATTAAAAGAATAGCTACAATTTTTATAGTGATTTGCACACAATCAAAGTTGACATCCAGTAAAAAGGTAAAAAAAAAAAAAAACACAATATGCCCAAATTACAAACAAAAACTCTCAGAATATGCGGTTCCCACTTATATATATTATTAAAAAAAAAAAGACAAGAAAATGAGACCTTTACTCCAGAACCATTCGCACAGGAAAACAATTACACCAAAACACAACATAGGTATTTATCAAACTAATCAAAATTAACATACACTAAAAGAAATTGCACAAAAACAGCAATTTTCACGTCATTCACATGTTATCAAAATTGAAACACGGTTAAAACAAAAATCTGACCTAATAACAAGAAAAGCTGCAACTTTTAGTTTACAGTGAACAGCACGTAAAAAAAAAGGCTTACATTTTGAGCATAGCCAGATTGGGCACCATAAGATTGCTGACTATAAGCATTACTGCCTCTCGAAGAATACATATCTAAATTACAACATAAGGAAACCTGCAATTAAAACAAAAACAAACTCATTATTACACATTATAAAACGAACATTGAAAGAGAGAACCAATGATTAAAGAAGAAGATGATAAAAACACAACCTGCTATTAAGTGGTGCTAGTGGGTTGTTTTGCTTTTCTTAAAAACCCTAAAAACAAGAGACGATAGGCAGGACTGGGTTTTGAAGAGTAGCGAGAAAAGCAATAGAGTAAATTCAGGGAATGCCACCAAATTAGCTGCTTTTATATGCCAAACTAGCTCCCGAGGTTGTATTTGCGCAGCAGGGATTGGTTCGTTATGGACTTCATAATTAGGCCTCAAAGTTTAACTCCTCATGTCCTGCCCTCTTAAAATGCTTTTGCATTTCTGTTCTGTATTAGACCTGGGCCTTACTTTATGGGTTTCGGCCTTGGAATCCACTGTTTTTAATTTGCCCTCCTCCCCCTGGGCCCTGGTAAGGGACCAAGAAAGGTTTTTTTTTTTTTTTTGCCCAAGGGAATAGTAATATAAGCCAAAAAAAAAATCAATTATTAATCCATTGATTTTTTTATCCTTCTTCTTGCAAAATTTATCAAATGGAATTAAAAGAAGTTAAATATTAAGGAGTTAACAATTTAATTCCCTCTTATACCTAAATATTAGACGGGTTTGGGGGCTCAACTCTTTTACCCAGGCCCGTCCAATACCTGTCGAACCCTTTCCAGTCCATCAGACTGTCTGGCCCATGAACAAATCTAGTTCATTTATGGTCTAGCCGAGGACAAATAAGTGCTCGAATGCATGGTTAGGTTTCGTTAAGAGTACACACAACGTCCCCTGATACTCTATTTTGAATAATATAAGGTATTTTTTCTCAAAAGCAACAAAAAAACGAGTATACTGGGGAAGTTTGGGAACAAAAATCGTCATAATATGGTGGTGAAAAGATCGGACCAAACACTTCTTTCATGGAACCAACTACCTAGTAGCGACCTTGGACTGAGAAAATAAAAAATAAAAATAAAAATAAAAAATTCTAAGGATCATGCCCACAACTTTTATCTTAACTTTTTCAGTCATGCATCAGCCACCGATTCTCGTACTTTGTTTCCCAAAGGACCTAATATGATATAATCAACTTCACATCTCTCTTGTTTTGTTTCCTAAAACCGGTGCCTTCCTGATCTAATCCTCTCCTCTCCTAATCTCGAAAAAGGACCCATCGCATCAATAGGGTCATGACCTCATCCTTACCTTAATCGACTCTTACTGTGTACGTGTATTCTCGATCGTCCTCAATCTAAAAGACAAAACAAATAAATAAATTTGGGTCAATGAAGAAAAGCCACCTACTGGTCGCGCATGCTATGCCCAAGAAAGGAGGCTGCATCTAACGGCCGAGATTCAAAGAATATTCTGTTTCCATTTCTGAAAAATTAATCAGTGAAGGGTTTGGTCTGATCTTAATCCGGAAGACCTAATATCAACACGTATTCATTAAAAAATTGATTAACAGTAATCAAGGAATCAAGATTTAAACCAATTAGGAGTGAGTACATTAGGTGGCTAGATAAGAACCACAAAGTGGTAAATACTAATATTGGCCTACTATTTTTCTCCAATGCTTATCCCTAGTACTACTACTACTTTGGTAGGGGTACGTGTCATGTTATGAAGACGTGTTGATAGCTATCTCAGACTCTGACAAATGTTTACTGGCTCTTCCATGACCCATGTTTTGTTGAGGATTTAATATCCTAATCTCTCGAGTTGTAAAATAAAGCACACTCTCTTTGAACTTTTATTACCTTGTTCATACCATGATTTTTTTTATTATTATTGTTTGAATTTTGAATGTTGAAACCAAAATTCTACAGACTTATCTTGAAGGCAAAATCCTGCACATTATTACACTGCAGGAATTGTTTGAAATAAAATTCCCTCAGCCAAAAACTATAGATGTAACTATAAATTCAATCTTTTATGGTTTTCCAAGATGAGAAAATATAGAAAAAAGTATAAGTTATGTACAAATCCAAAGCTTTTGAAATTCAATCCTTTATCATATAATTGGTGGTCAAATTCAACCCTACCAGATACATTGGATTTGGAAATAAAATTATTTGATGATAGCTAATTTGAACCTGTTATATTAAAGAAAATTTCCATTTGAAAACTTTGATTGAAAATATTTAAGATGCATATGAATACAATAGGGCCAGCAAAGGAGCCAAAAGAATTGGACTTTTTCAATTGAAAATATTCTATTGGATATCCCTCGTAGATGAAAGTTTTGGAAAGTGCAAGTGCAGAGAATGAAGCATGAAAGTCAAATTCAGAAGGTGTGTTGTCACTCAATGCGAGTATCGATACCTAGCTATAATCCGAGGTATTCAAGTCAACAAAACAACCAATCAAAACCATGAGGCCACAACAGGACAAAAAACAGACGAAAATAAAAGGGCCAGCCATCTCCTTGAAAACATTTCAAACGCTTACACTTCTCTCAACCCCTCCCTGGCCTCCCTCCCTTAGCAGCTAAAGTCTCAGGTCCCTTTAAACTTAGCCACACACTACCCCAAGTTTTTTTTTTTAAAAAAAAATATATATATATATATATATCTCTTGTCTTTGTTTGAGTACTAGAAATGCAAGGAAAAACCAGCTCTGACCAGCTTCCTCCCGGTTTTAGGTTCCACCCAACCGATGAGGAATTGATCGTGTACTACCTTCGTAACCAAGCCACATCCAGACCATGCCCTGCATCAATTATCCCAGAAGTTGATATTTACAAATTTGATCCTTGGCAATTACCTGGTAGGTTTCAAAATGAAGGATTTTCTTTTCTGGGCACATGAAAAGTGCCCTTATAATTCATATGCATGTTCGATTGTTAGTTTTTAGCTAGGCCTTGTAATATTGATTGTGTTAACTTATGTGATGTAGAGAAAGCAGAATTTGGGGAAAAGGAGTGGTACTTCTTTACCCCTCGCGACCGCAAGTACCCGAATGGAGTGAGGCCTAACAGAGCAACCGTGTCAGGGTATTGGAAGGCCACGGGCACAGATAAGGCCATCCACAGTGGCTCTAAATATGTTGGTGTCAAGAAAGCTCTTGTTTTTTACAAGGGCAGGCCACCAAAGGGTACTAAGACCGATTGGATTATGCATGAGTATCGCTTAAATGAATCAAGAAAACAAGCCAACAAGCAAAATGGATCCATGAGAGTAAGCTCCTCTTTTTTCTTTTTCTTTTTTTCTGTGATTATCTAATAGAAATTAATTACCCTATAATTTCCAAGAAATTTTTTTTTTTTTTTTTTTAATTTGACCATGGCTTTTGGTTTTTGTGTTTCAGTTGGATGACTGGGTCCTATGCAGAATTTACAAGAAGAGGCAAGCAACAAGACATACGGAGGAGAAAACAGAAAATACAGCACATGCCCATTTGGACGTTACCCCGGCTAACGATGCTAGCGAGCAACAAATGATGAAATTTCCAAGGACATGTTCGCTTTCTCGTCTGTTGGAATTGGAGTACCTGGGTTCAATTTCCCAACTCTTGAGTGGTGATAATTACAGTTCCAATTTTGATTTCCAGAACCCCGTAAGCAATGCTGGGACTGACGATGTTCAAAAAATTCAGCTGGGACATATGTCTCCACAACACACAGATCATGAGAAGTTTCAAGGGAACCAGGGCAGTACCACCTTAAACCAGCCACTATTTGGGAACCCCACGATGTACGGATTCCAGTGATTTGCATGGTTAGGACCATTGAATTGAGAAACATATTTGGGTTTATCATCATATAGAAGACACCACAGTTGTTCACATCCAATTACAAATGTACAAATTGTTTGTTAGAGCGTATATTTTATATAGACCTTGCGCAATTGTCAACTGTGACCTAGATATTTGCAGTTTCATTATGGTGGCGCCACCTAGGCATCTACTAATATATGGTATTGTTTACACACAATTACACGGGACAAGCTTGAAGGTGTTTCCATTTGTTTTGGGTATTTTCTTAAATATCCTTTAACTCAAGGCAGCTAGCCTCAATAGGACAAAAAAAATGCCCTGACAACGCAACATTCATGAAAATTAAAATGGTGGTAAATCAAGAATACACTCCAGCAGGTTCTTTTGTCAGCTAAAATAATTAATTGCAATATGGAGCAGTATTCAGTCGGTCATGCACTGTTATTATTTTCAGCCTTCGGGCAGTAAAAGTCCCTTATCCGAAAAAACAAAAATTAAAATATTTGAAGATTGGTCAAAAACAACGTGGAAAGCAATTCGATTGATGCAACTACCCGGGTGATTTGGTGGGTGCATCACTTAGTTTGTCCTTTGCTTGATAGCGATTTATATAGATAAGAACTTAAAAGGCTTGAGAATCCAAATATTCCATCGTCACAGCCAAGCTGCACTAGGAAGGTTGAATTCCAGGACGGTAAGTTCTATCTATTAACTGCTGCTCTGGTTGAGTCAATATTGGATCATCTACAAACTCGCTATTATTAGAATTATTTTAAATGAAATTCTATATATTTTTTTTTACGTGGATTGCAACTATCTACTTTTTTGTTTTATATTATCTAAGACTCTTTGTTATACCACTATTATTAGAATTATTTTAATTGAAATTCATAACTAGATCTCTGGTTGAGTCAATATATATATATAATTGATTTTGTTCGTAACTAGATCTTCTATTATTAGAATTATTTTAATTGAAATTCTATATATATATTTTTTACGTGGATTGCAATTATCTATTTTTTTTGTTTTATATTATTTAAGACTCTTTGTTATACCACTATTAATTGTGAAATACGTGACATGTGTTATATGTGAAACTCCAATAAAAAATTTCAACCAAAACAATTCAAAGAGAATAAGACTTCAATCAAAATAATTTAAAAGGTGCATAGGTCAGTTTTTTTTCTAATTTTTATAATATTTTGTTTTTAATAACTTATTTTAAATGCAACTAAATATATTATTTGTGAGACTCCATGACAAGTAAAACTCCGAAGATATTTGTTTTTAAAAGATATTACCATGTTTTAAAAATAATAAAATACATATAAAATCAATTTAATATGCCATTAGAACAAATAAAACTAAAAAATAGAGTATGAATGTGTTCATCGAAACAACAACAATGCTATCTAATAGCTAATTATCTATATCGAAAAGAAAATGTGGTGCAATCCCAATTTTCTTTTTTAAAAAAAAACAGAACAACTCCATTTTTCTCTTTTAATAAATCAAATATTCAAAATTTCTTATTTTTTGTAATGAAAAGATGTCTGACTCATCAGAATAGGGGTTTGGTTTTCAGCTTAAAAAGTTTCTTCTTATTATTTGTATCATTAACATGGATTGTTGGTAGGTTAAAAAACCTTGATTTTTAAAATCAATGAAAAGTTAAATGCGATACGATACGAACTTAATCCAAAGAGTGACCAACTTGATCTTGATTGATATGAAAGTTAATCTTAAAATATTCACTTCATATATAAATATATAAAGTAACGAGTAAATCTCTATTGGGTCCGTAAAGTAAAATATTAGCTTATTTCTCGATCATATCCTTCCGATTACATGTGTTACCATTTTCGTTATTTTATGTAACTAAACAATGCTGAAATTTGACTTTTTTTTTAATTAAATATTGGATGATTTTATACAAAATACCTAATTGAAAATATCCTTACATTGAAAATGAAATCGACAAAATTGATTGCTTTGAAATGAATGTGAACATTAGAATGACTCTTCTTCTAAAATAAACCAAGTTTTGATTTTGACCTATCTTTGTTCGTCAAAACACGAGTAATAATATTTTTCTACCATCTATGTGCAAATGAAATTAAAAGTAAACAAAGCCTCTTCTCTTAAAATCATGCAAAATTTTTAAGCGATATGCGGCTCAGGTTTCAAGTGGATGCATGTTCATAGGGGTGATTATTCAGTTTTTTTTATTTGATTTTGTTTTTTTTTTTCGATTAACCAAATTGAGGTTTGATTTTTCAATTAAAAAATCAAATTTTCTGATTCAGTTTTCGATTAAAAACCTTTTTTTTTTGCATCTTTTCTTCTAAAATTTGAATTTTCTCTTCAACCAAGCTAAAATGTCAGTTTTTTGTATTTTTTTTTAATTTTTAAAAAATGCTAATAGCTTGAATTGAAGTTTTAGTAAATAAAATCATAGAAAAATGCTATGAGTCTTGGGTGTGTGTTAAAAAAAAAGAAGCTCTAATTTGATTTTCGGTGAAAATCTTTTTTTTTTTTTAAATAGAATCAAACTGAAATAATTTTGGTTTTCGATTTCGATTTTTTTTTATATAACGGAACCGTTTTAGGTTTTCGATTTTAACTGAATAGTGCTCATCGCTGTATCTTCCATATTTTGTCCACTCTAGCTCGATGCCAAAATCAAGCCGGAATGAGTTGTTTTCTTACAGATTCCCAATTATTTACTCTTGGCACGAACATACAAATTCGCTTGAAAATAATACCTACTATGAAAAATAACTATTCAGGTAGAGCATGGCACATGTCCTTAGAAAAAAAAAATCATATGCCATCCTCTATAACTAAAATTTCAATGGAAGAAAGTATACATCCAACCCTATAATTTAAAATGGAATGAGATGAAAATTTGTCTTGTTCGGTACGTTAATGAAATAGGCCATGCTAAAATAGAAAACAACGCAAACAATGGGTTGTTTGATTTATTTTTTATTTTTTGGGCCCTATTCTTCCATCATCTCTGTATCAGGCCAGGAAGCTTATTAACAATCCTTAACATATCTGCAACCAGACTGAACTACGGTTATGCTGAATGAGTTGGTCTCAATGGGCTAATCTTATCTCCTAGCAGGCAGGCCTTTTATACTGGGCTGCTCTTAATCGGGCTAACCTTGTTACTAGGCACAAACAACCAGAAAAAGTCCAGGGCTTAAAACAAAGAGCCTATTGCATGGACCAAAGGCCCATGAAAGGCCTAGCTACCCCTGCTTCATGAACTGAAGGAAGAGAGAGAGAGAGAGAGATTGTTCTATGCATGGACTTTAAGCTTCTTTTGGGCAGGATAAGAGTTAAGACAGCTGAATTCTGGTAGACCCGTATTTTTAGCATAACTGCTGCCATCCAAGCTTCCTGTCCGATCATTAATAACAAGCAGACAATAAATGTATAATCCAACTAACAAACCAACCTCTACCTGCTCTTTTTGCTTCAGTTTCATATTTTTAGTTGGCTAGTTGCATGTATAAATAAAGGGAAGAATCGCTGTGCAGATTATTCTTGGCAAAAATGGGCATTTTCTTTCCGTTTCTTCTAATTTCTCTCTGATTCTTTCTTGTTTTTCTTTGTAATTTTCACTGAAATGCAACCATTGTTACACCGTTAGAATCAATAAACTTGCATAGATTTCAAAGCTTCCTTTAATTGATTGGATTCTAGCTTTCGTTTCTGAAACTACTTATCTCCACTTCAATATATTAATGCATAATCATTGGGTTCCAGCTATGAATTGTGGATTCTTGAAAATTAAGGTCGCTCATGATTCTTGATTTTGATATTCTACAAGCTGGACCAAGGATGTGCCTGGGTGAGGACTCTGCATATCTCCAAATGAAGATAGCACTGGCCTCATTGTGCAGATTTTTCAGCTTTAGTTTAGTAAAAAATCATTCAGTAGAATACAGAATGATGACAACGCTGTCAATGGCACATGGCCTGAAGCTTAGGATAGCCAGGAGATCATAAGTCTAGCGGGCATGATCTTGAAGTTAATCCAAGGTAGATGCAGTCAATTTTCATGTAATTTGTCAGTCAAATCACTTTGAGCTATAATATAATGGCAATTGGCTACAACTGGTATATTTTCCCGAAGAAGACGGAAAGAAGAGGGCACCTTGATGTATGTTAAACTTTGGTAGATTCACCGCTATTATCACTTGACGCAAGAAATTGTTCGAGAAATGGTTGATAAACTACAGATCGTCAAATGCAGTCAGTTGCGTGATGAAGGAAGTTCAATAGTTCGAGCATTTTGAATCCAGAATGATTTCGAAACTCTATCAACATAAAAGAAAAGAATGGGAAATAAAATATAATCATACATTCAACCCATGAAGTTCTTGATACATTACGAGTGATCAGTGATAGTGTACAAATGCTGCATGGCATAATTTAGTTTAAGTATTTGGATCTAAACTGATCAATAATGTTTATTGAACAGAATCAGTTTAACTAAGCAGCTTCAGCTTCTTCTCTTGCCACTCTTTATTTCAGCATCAATTTTTGCTTGAACACCATCATGAAACCCTTGGTATGGTTCATAACCGAAAGGGTTTGAAGAGCTTGAAGCAAAGCGACATAACCATCACAGTTTTGAGATCAAATTGTCCCAAAAAAAAAAAAAAAAAAAAAGAGAGGGAAAAAGGAAAAAAATGATGAAACTAGAAGTTACACCTCCAGCAGCACAAAGAAGGGAGCCATTATAAAGTTGTCCAAAAGAGCAGGGGCTCGTTTCTGCAGGAAATTATCAGAATTTGAGGCACATTTTAACATAATTTACTTTATCAATTCCATATCACAGGATCAGTTACCTCAAAGACCCCATGGCCGATGAACTGTCCAGTCCAACAAACTATTTGAGCCACCAGAACTGATCCTGCACTTGTTTTGAACTTACCAATCAGCAATATTTGCGAGATATAACTTTTAAAGAACCAGATTTTTTAAAAAGAATAAAGAATTAAACCATCAGCTATTCCAAAATATTTCTGCTACTACAGATCATAAATGCAAACTACAGCTTTCAGAGAAAGCTCTGATCAAGTTAAAGAAAAGAGATGCCCCAATATAATTAATACCAATTTGACAGTAGCTAATAAATTGAATAAAACTTCAGATTCAGGTCGCAGATCATCAGAAAAGAAAAACAGTATTTAATGAGGCATATGAATTACTTTTATTGAAATTTCAATAGCCAAAACTCAAAAACTGCAGACCACAAAACAGACTCATTATTCTCAGTTTTTCAATTTACACGAGTCATAATAAGCCGCCGTCATCATCATCAACAATAACAGCAACTAAATATTATAGTTCAATACCCAACAAACCCAAAACTAAGAATAACACCAAAAACTAATAAAATTACCTTCCAAGCAAGAGAAAACACTAGCCAAGTAGCCCCCAAACTACTAGTCACCTAACAGAAAGCACAAAGCAAAGCAGCCAAGGAACCAGCTTTTGGGTCCAAAAAGATATAAAATAAAGCATATATCAAAACAAGAAAGAAACCGATGTTAAAAAACAGAACAACATCGCTACCAAATAGAGATAACTTGACTTGAGGGAGGTTAAACAGAAGAGGTGTGAAATAAAGAATCAAACTAGAAGCGAAAAAGATTGGCCAAACAAATATCATGTGAATTATTATATTTATTGGGTTACTATGGTATGCAACATAGAATGCAAAGTGCTTCTCTAGATCATACAATCCATACAAAGATTATTTATTCTTGTGAAAATTGGGCATTTTCTTTCTGTTTCTTCTAATTTCTCTCTGTTTCTTTCTTGTTTTTCTTTGTAATTTTCGTTCATATACAACCATCGTTACACAGTTGGGGTCTATAAACTTTCATAGATTTCAAAGCTTACTTTACTTGATTGAATTCTAGCTTTCATTTCTGAAATTACTTAAGAATCCACCCTTCAATCCCTAATTCTTACTACTCTTTCATCCAAATAGTCTCGAGGCTATTAGACAACTCTACTTCCAAGGTCCGAGGAATTACAACACAAATAATGCTTCCAACAAGCCCCACGTTAGAGAGTCCACCGCATACATTGCCTGAATTGCTGAGCATAAACAATAACAAAAAGAACTTCGGTGATGGGAATAATCAACTGCATCACACCAACAAGGCGTCTACTAATATTTAGTATCATTTACTCGCATATATAGGACATGCAAAAAAGAAGTGAGGCAGACATACAAAGATTGTTGACAAGGAAAACAAAGAAATCTATTTCAGTTTCACCACTTCTTAACCAACTTCTCAGTTACCTTTACCATTCTCAATTATAAGAAAGAATTCCAGTCAGGACTTCGCTACCATTACATTCAATACTGTTGTCATTTGATTTTTACGATCAATGGGGGAAGCTAAGAGTCTTTCTTCTAACACAAATGGCTACAACATGGGAATGGTATTGATGCTAGCTTGCATGGTTTTGTCATGGATTTTTATCGATAGATGGAACCAAAGAAACAAAAAAGGCCCAAAAACATGGCCGATTGTAGGAGCAGCAATTGAGCAGTTTATGAACTATAATCGAATGCATGACTGGCTTATCAAATACCTGTCTGAGTTAAGAACTGTGGTTGTACCAATGCCATTCACAACATATACTTACATTGCAGATCCTGCTAATGTAGAACATGTCCTCAAGACCAACTTTGCTAATTATCCCAAGGTAAGTACTTTCAATAAAAATATTTATTTACTCATTGAGTTCAATCATGCATCTAAATTGAAAATGAATTTGCACTCTGCCAAGTTTTTGGGTCTTAAGGATCTTTTCTCAATTTGCATTTTTGATAACAAATGAAGTTTGATATTTCATTGAAGGGTGAGACATACCACTCATACATGGAAGTCCTGCTTGGAGATGGGATATTTAATGTGGATGGAGAACTGTGGAGGAAGCAGAGGAAGACTGCTAGTTTTGAGTTTGCATCCAGGAATTTGAGGGACTTTAGCACAGTAGTCTTCAGGGAGTATAGCTTGAAGCTCTCTTCTATTCTTAGTCAAGCATCTTTCCACAACCAAGAAGTAGACATGCAGGTGACTTTAAAGTTTTTAATTTTCAGTATCATTTATTGTCACGAAGTTAAGAGCACATTTTGAACACCATGAAAATAAAATCATCCAATCTTGCTCTAACTAATACTACTGCAACTAAAACTATTGTTGATGTTTCAGCTGTCTTTATAGAAATCGTGCCTGAATGCTATGTGAAAGAAGCTATTCGGTCCAGTTTTGGTTTTTCGAATAGAAATTCTGTTGATTCACTCTGGTCGTAATAAAGCTTACAATTTCTCTTTTATAGGAATTGTTAATGAGGATGACTTTGGACTCCATATGCAAAGTTGGGTTTGGAGTAGAAATTGGAACACTGGCTCCCAATCTACCAGAAAATCGCTTTGCACAGGCATTTGATACTGCCAACATCATCGTGACACTTCGGTTCATCGATCCATTGTGGAAAATAAAGAAGTTTCTTAATGTGGGCTCAGAGGCTCTCCTTGATAAGAGCATCAAAATCGTTGATGATTTCACCTACTCCATGATTCGCAGAAGGAAAGCAGAAATAGAAGAAGCCCGAGCTGGCACTGGTAAAAGTAACAAGGTAATGTCATCTTCGCGAAAGTTTTAATCTCTCTAGAATGATAAAAGGAATTGCGTTCGCTAACCAAATTCTCGCTCGATGTCAGATAAAGCATGACCTATTATCAAGGTTCATTGAGCTAGGTGAAGACCCCGAAAGCAATTTCACAGACAAAAGCCTCAGAGATGTTGTCCTGAACTTTGTGATAGCAGGGCGAGATACAACAGCAACAACTCTCTCATGGGCTATATACATGGTAATGACGCACAACCATGTAGCCGAGAAGCTTTACTCTGAGCTCAAAATTTTTGAAGAGGATAGGGCAAAGGAAGAGAATGTTAAGTTGCTTCAGATTAACCCGGAAGATGCTGAATCATTCAGTCAAAGGGCAGCGCAATACGCTGGACTTCTGACTTACGATTCCTTGGGAAGATTATACTATTTGCATGCGGTGATCACAGAGACACTTCGTTTGTATCCTGCAGTCCCTCAGGTATGCCTAATGTATCATATGCAATGTAGTCAATGAAAACCGTGCGAAACTTCTGAAAACAGAAAACATAGAGATTAACTTCATAAAGCTAGAGAAAAAGGGGAATATTTAGCCTTGGAGATCTTGGTTATGATATACACGCTTTCTACAGAAATGGTGACAACAGCATACAGCTTAGTGAACTGTTATTGAATGATTGCAGGACCCCAAGGGTATCCTGGAGGATGATATCTTGCCTGATGGAACCAAAGTAAAAGCAGGAGGCATGGTAACTTATGTTCCCTACTCCATGGGCAGAATGGAGTATAACTGGGGTCCTGATGCAGCTTCATTCAAGCCTGAAAGATGGCTCAAAGATGGTTTCTTCCAAAATGAATCTCCATTCAAGTTCACTGCATTTCAAGTAAGTTAAAAAGAATTAACGCTCACGACCAATATATTAATGCATAATCATTGGGTTCCAGCTATGAATTGTGGTTTCATGAAAAGTAAGGTCGCTCATGATTCTTGATTTTGATATTCTATAGGCTGGACCAAGGATGTGCCTGGGTAAGGACTCTGCATATCTCCAAATGAAGATGGCACTGGCCTTATTGTGCAGATTTTTCAGCTTTAGTTTAGTAAAAAATCATTCTGTAGAATACAGAATGATGACAACACTGTCAATGGCACATGGCCTGAAGCTTAGGATAGCCAGGAGATCGTAAGTCTAGCAGGCATGATCTTGAAGTTAATCCAAGGTAGATGCAGTCAATTTCCATGTAATTTCTTAGTCATATCACTTCGAGCTATATATAATATAAAGATACTTGGTTACAACTGGCATATTTTCCCGAAAAAGAGGGAAAGAAGAGGGCACCTTAATGTATGTTAAACTTTGGAAGTTCACTGTTATTATCACTTGACTTGACGCAAGAAATTGTTCGAGAACTGATTGATAAACTACAGTTCGTCAAATGCAGTCAGCTGCGTGATGAAGTTAGTTCAATAGTTAGTGCATTTTGAATCCAAAATGATTTCGAACCTTTATCTACATAAAAGAAAAGAATGGGAAATAAAATATAATCATACATTCAATCCATAAAGTTCTTGATACATTGTGAGTGATCAGTGATAGTGTACAGAATCTGTATGGCATAATTTAGTTTAATGGGATCTAAACTGATCAATGATGTTTATTGAACAGACTCAGTTTAACTAAGCAACTTCAGCTTCTTCTCTTGCCACTCTTTATTTCAGCATCAATCTTTGCTTGAACACTAGCATGGAACCCTGGGTATGGTTCGTAACCGAAAGGGTTTGAAGAGCCTGAAGCAAAGCCACATACCTTCCACAGTTTTGAGATCAATTTATCAAAAAAAAAAAAAAAAAAGGTGAAACTAGAAGTTATACCTCGAGCAGCACAAAGAAGGGAGCCATTATAAAGTTGTCCAAAAGAGCAGGGGCTCGCTTCTGCAGGAAATTATCAGAATTTGAGGCACATTTTAACATAATTAAACTTTACTAATTCCAGATCACAGGATCAGTAACCTCAAAGACCCCATGGCCGATGAACTATCCATCCAATAAACTATTTGAGCCACCAGAACAACCTGGAGAAAAATTCCTTGCCTTTGAAATTAAATGAAACAATACAAAACTACTATCTCATGGTTTGCATTGTTGAAAGAAATCCATGATGCAAGAATTTGCAGCGCAGAGTTGGACCTCAATGATGTGCATGAATTAGATGTTTATGAGCAACAAATAGTGAACAATGAATCGTATAAGGAAATTGTCACACAAATTAATGCACTAATGTCCAACAAAATGATCAAACCAAGAAATATTCTTATACTGCATTACCCTGTAACACTAATTGCAGCAGTGAAAAATCAATAACTACTTTGATCCAACACGCAAGACTTCATGATACCCCATTCTTGAGGTAGGATCAGCCATCTACCTCCAAAACATCATTTTCTCAAAATTGGGTTGAATCCAATAACAATTTAAGCCATGGGAACTCAGAACCAAGATGCACTACATTTATCAGGTCCATGTTATTTATCAGAAATCAGCATCAATAAACTACACCAATTCAATCCTCATTCTGATTCCAACATCCATCATGGCATAGCAAGAAAAATAGATAGATTCAGATGGTGCACCAGTCAAATTTACAGCCTATATCCAGATTCCAGACAACTCCCTTATCTCCTATAGCATATAAAGTCAGATAGGGACCAAGAGAACCATTCAAATCCATAGCTCTAAGTTTCACAAGCCTTGGCTATATTGCATTGGAAGAGTATGCATCTAGATGTGAAATATGACATATTTTTCCTTCAGTAAATACATGGTTCACAATTAGATCTGGCCTACTTATTAAAGTTTTCTGCTGTACAGAAAGTCAAATGATAGCAACGGATTGCGTTGACAAACAAATTGGAACATTAAAAGGAAAAAGATTTCGAATTTCTGATTCTGTACTTGTTTTGACCATTAGCATTCGAATATTGTGAAATATAACTTTTAAAGGACCAGAATTTTAAAAAGAAGATAGAATTAAACCATCCACTATTCTAAAATACATATTTCTGCTTCCACAATGAATGCAAACTACAGCTTTCAGAGAAACCTCTAATGAACTCTGAAGAAAAGAGATACCCCAATATAATTAATACCAATTTGACAGTAACAAATATATTGAATGCAATCTCATTCAATTGCACACCCCCAAAAATGAAGCTATTCAGGCAGCACTCATGAGGAAAGAGAGAAAGAAAGAAAAAGAAGGTATATGATAAGTAGCTATTATTGAAATTTCAATAGCCAAAACTCAAAAACAGGGGACAACACAAGAGACCCATTATTCTCCGTTTCTCAATTTCCATGCATCATAAGCCATCATCAACAACAAGAAGAGAATATTATTGTTCGATACTCGAACAAAATTCAAAACCAAAACTAAAAGAAAAATTACTCCAAGCTAGAGAAAACCCAAGCCAAGTAGCCACAAAACAATTAGTCACCCAACAAGAAGCACAAAGCAAAGCAGCCAAGTAACCAGCTTTTGGGGTCCAAGCAGATATAAAACAAAGCATAGATTAAAACAAGTACGAACCAAATATTAAAAAACAGAACAACATCATTACCAAACAGAGATAACTCGACTTGAGGGAGGTTAAACAAAGGAGGTGTGAAATAAAGAATCAAACTACAAGCAAAAAGACTGGCCAAACAAATATCATGTGAAAAAATCATTTTGTTTATTGGGTTGCCATGGTATGCACCAGAGAACGCATAGTGCTTTCCTAGATCAAACATCTACACTTTCCCATCGAAAATCTGAAGAAAGAAAAAGAAAAAAATGGGAAAGTTATAGATTTTCTTGAGAATTACTGGGTTCTGTATGTTTGGTTTATGGGAGGCGAGAACGACCCTAGTTACTTATAGACGAAAAAGGATATCTCGAATTTAAATTTTAAACAGCAAACTGGTATGTTTTCCTGACCAAAATAGTAGCGTGGTCCACTAGCATAGTTAAAAACCATTTCACGCATTGGATCTAAGAGATACTGGTAGTTTGGTACTTGTTCTTTCTCACAAGTATAAGCCAAGTTACAAAAATCTAAAACCCGTAGTCAATGTGCAAACGACCAAGCCAGCGTCCTGGATCCCATTGTGCAAAAGGGAAAAAGTTTACAGTGGGCAGAGTAGCAAAAATGCCAAGTAAAATATGTCCCTTTCGTATCCTTCGTACTCAGAGATTAGAAACTAATTCCAGCACAGCACATATTCCCAAAGCAGCAAAGAGGGAAAGACGAGGGCACCTTGATGATGTTAAACTTGGGAAGATCCACTGCTATTATCACTTGATGCAAGAAATTGTTCAAAAACTGATGAACTACCAACCGTCAAAAAAAGAATCCGTTGCATGATTAAGGAAGGTCAATAGTTTGTACATTTTGAAGCTTTATCAACAGAAAATAAGCATGGGAATAAAATATAATCAGACATTCAGCTCATAAGTTCTTGGTACATTTTGTGACCTAAACTGATCAATGATGTTTAACTAAGCAACTTCTGCTTTTTCTCTTGCCACGCTTTTCTTTCAGAGTCAATCTTTGCTTGAACACTAGCATGAAACCCTGGGTATGGTTCATAACCAAAAGAGGTTTGAAGAGCCTGAAGCAAAGCAATATAACCACCAAAGTTTTGAGATCAAATTGTCAAAAATAAAAAAATAAAAAAATAAAAAAACAATGATGAAACTATAAGTTATACCTCCAGCAGCACAAAGAAGGGAGCCATTAGAAAGGCTTGTACGAGGTTATCCAAAAGAGCAGGGGCTCGTTTCTGCAGGAAATTATCTGAACTTGAGGCACATTTTAATATAACAAAACTTTTATAAGTCCAGATCACAGGATCAATTACCTCAAAGACCCCATGGCCTATGAACTGTCCAGTCCAACAAATTATTTGAGCCACCAGAACAACCTGGAGAACAATTCGTTGCCTTAAAATTAAATGAAACAAAACAGAACTACTATTTCATGGTTCCATTGCTGAAAGAAAATGAATGATGCATGAGTGTGCAGAGTTAGACTTAAACGGTACTTTAATTAGATATTCATGACCAACAAATAGTGAAAAATGAAGGAAATTGTCACGCAAACAAAATGAGAAAAAAGAGAGGCCTTCGCATTCCTAATCCAGTAGGGCTGGCTGGCTTTGTTTGCCTGGCTCGGCGAATCGCATCTCTGAGATGTACTAATGTCCAACAAAATGATCAAACCACAGTAAAGAAGCGCGCCTTAGAAACAATCCTATACTGCATTGTCTTGTAACGCTAATTGCAGCAGTAAAAAATCAATAACTACTTTGATTCAACTCGCGAGACTTTTCATGATACTCCATTCTTGAGGTTGGATCTGCCATCTACCTCTAAAGCACCATGTTCTCAGAAGTGGGTCGAATCCAATAACAATTGCAGCCATAACCTCTCTCTGATTTCAATATCCATCATGGCATATAAAGAAAAATAGATAGATTCAGGTCTACAGCCAGTATCCAGATTCCAGACAACTTCCTTTATCTCCTAGGGCATATAAAGTCAGATAGGGACCGAGAGAACCATTCAAATCCAAAGTCCTAGGTTTCTCAAGTTTACAATTAGAACTGGCCTACTAAGAAAAGTTTTCAGTTATACAGAATGTCAAAGGATAGCAAAAGATTAGGTTGTATGAAGAACCATATTAATTAGAGCCACGTTGACAAACAAATCTAAACATTGAAAGGAAAGAGATTTCGCATTTCTGATCCTGTACTTGTTTTGATCCTAACAATTAGCAATATTTGCGAAATATAACTTTTAAAGAACCAGATTTTTTAAAAGAATAAAGAATTAAACCATCAACTATTCCAAAATACATATTTCTGCTACTACAAATCATAAATGCAAACCTCATGTTCAGGTTGCAGATCATCAGAAAAGAAAAACAGTGAGGCATATGAATAACTGTTATTGAAATTTCAATGGCCAAAACTCAAAAACTGCAGACCACACAACCGACCCATTATTCTCAGTTTTTCAATTTACATGAATCATCGCCGTCATCATCACCACCATCATCAACAACAACAGCTAAATATTTTAGTTCAATACCCAACAAACCAAAAACTAAGAATAACACCAAAACATAATAAAATAATAAAATTACCTTCCAAGCAAGAGAAAACCCAAGCCAAGTAGCCACAAAACCACTAGTCACCCAACAGAAAGTACAAAGCAAAGCAGCCAAGGAACCAGCTTTTGGGTCCAAACAGATATAAAATAGAGCATAGATCAAAACAAGAACTAACCCGATATTAAAAAACAGAACAACATCATTACCAAACAGAGATAAGTCGATTTGAGGGAGGTTAAACAGAGGAGGTGTGAAATAAAGAATCAAACTAGAAGCGAAAAGGATTGGCCAAACAAATATCATGTGAATTATTATGTTTATTGGGTTACTATGGTATGCACCATAGAATGCAAAGTGCTTCTCTAGATCAAACAATCCATACTTCCCCATTGAAAATCAAAATAAAAGGATGGGTTTTTTCCTAGGAAAGTTGGTGGATTTTCTTGAGAAAATTATGGGTACTGTGTGTCTTTGTACAGTAGGCGGCGAAGGAATCAAGGGGATAAGATGGTTACTTGAAAAGACAAAAAGGCTTGTCTTGACTTTATCGCCAACGCAATACAGACAAAAAAGAAAAGGCAGCTCTGAATACAGGGGTTTGCCGTGAGAGGACTTCCCTTAATTTTCTAGGTGCTGCGTCATAATCGCAGCCAGCCCGGTACCACCTAATCCTCTTCGCTTCCATAAAGTCTGTTTGATCCGATTATGGTACGTGCTAACTATTAAGCTCGATTTTTCATCTCTCTCAATAGCAAGTTGTTATTGATAGTTAAATCATTATATGTAGAATTATCGGGGGTTAAAAATCCAACGACAAAAACTAAACATTTATTCTAAAAATTGAAAAAAATAAAAATAAATAAAGTTACTGTTGAACCAACCCAAAAATGTAAGTAGAGAGACCCAAAAAATGGATATATGGTTGAGTTCTTCAGAAGGGAATCCTTATGTTACCTTGTGATATGATTGGCTAATGTATTTTAAGGGATTTTGTTGCTGATATTATGCCAATAATTTTATTAAATAAAAAATAAATGTTGGAGTCAATTCAAGAAAATTATTATGAGAATTATTATAAAAATAATTCATAAATCTTTTTTTTTTAATGAATACAATTTTTGATATCATAATTCATCACTAAATACTGACATATATAGTTAAAGATCGAATTTTTTTTTTCCCCCTTTAAGATCGGATATAATTAGTTACATTTTTTTCATTACCTTCCAATTGTTTGATGCAACGTTCCCAACAAAAATTTAGATTTTCTGACATTTCTACTGGGCCAACCTAAAAGAGTCCAAACATAACTAGGCTTCAAGCTTGGTCCATGACTACGTTCCGGCCCTTCTAAATGAATACGCTTTATCGTTTTTTTCAAAAAAAAAAAAAACTCCTCTCGAAAAGATAATGAGCTTGCCACATGGCAACTAGCTAAGGTCCATGTTGAAGTGAAGGGCAAAGAGGTCAGCATGCCAACCCTGCCCAAAAATCCACACTGAGAATTCCTCCCTTCCCTACATTTCCAATGAATGTGAAAGAATAATTCCTTCACATCTTATCCAAATTAACCCATCATGAGCAGCTTCACTCTCCTCCATGCCCAGAACATCACCAATAAATCCCACAATCACTCATTCAAACACTCAATTCCAATAATAAAAGCATCAATTTCACCCCAAGAAAATTTGACCAACAGAAGGAAAATTGTTACATTTGTATCAACTTCACTAGCGCTAGGCCTGTTACATGGAAGCACAACCACGACACCACCACCAGCACTAGCTGAAAAATGGGGTACACGTTCATTAATTTGGGAACATTTTTTTCAGCCTGATTTATCACCAGAAGATGCAGTTGCAAGAATTAGACAAACTGCTGAGGGGCTACATAGCATTAGAGACATGCTAGAGAGCATGGCTTGGAAGTATGTCATGTTTTACATTAGGCAAAAACAAGCTTATCTTTCCAAAGATTTGAAAAATGCTTTCTCTACTTTGCCTCCAAGTCGCCAGGAAGATTATGTTAAGAAGGCTAATGAGTTGGTTGATAATATGGACGAGGTATGCAATACTTTGATTTAGTTTTATGTATTAATTTTTTATTAATTAATTTATTTACTTACTTAAAAATCATAGAATATTAACTTGGCACGCTATTAATTAATTGGGAACTTACTTTTCTCTTTTTTTGCAGTTTGATTCTTATGTTCGGACGCCGAGAGTATATGAATCGTACCTGTACTATGAGAAGACACTGAAATCAATAGACGATATTGTGGTAATATTAGGAAAGAACAATGCGGATGTTGTTACATGAAGCATGCATGTATCAAGAATCTTGAATTTTAGCACTTTGGGATTTTTTATTTTTATTTTATTTTTGACAAGATTTGTTGATATGTATACATTTTGTATGAAGCAGAATAATGATGACGGACTAGAACAGCTCCAAATTATGTATTATGAGAATGGAGCTGTGTTATTAGAATTTGCACTTGTATAGAATATGCCTAGTTATTACGTTGAATTCAGTTTTGAAAAAGAAAAAAACTATATATATTGCACTCCATTAAATTGCTCTTGCTCTTCCTGCACTCCCAGCTGCCCTGCATTGCATGATCATCAACAATTGCTTCTTTCTCGCCGTTTCTTTTTTTTTTTTTTTTTAATTGCATGACGAAAATGAGTGGTCATATAGTCTTGAATATTGCAGAATAGCTGAGAATGATATCTCTAAGCGTCTTTCGCTTTTCTCATGAATTAACTAGTTGAAGTTATGGAGTAATTATTTCAGCTAAGATTTTTATATATGCATATTGGAACTAGTTCAAGTTCTAACTTTTAAGTTACATACGCTGACGGCTCTGATTTTGAACCATTATTTACACACAGTACCGATTATATAAACAAACACAATTGTTATTTATTTCGTTAATTATATAGAATATCCAATCATAATTTTTTAAAAATGCATTCGTTAAAACCTTGAATTCCTGATTAATTAATTGTTAAGTAAAACATGATTTGTGATAGTTCATTGGTAAGCAAGTGTTAATTTGTAAGTTAAGTTCAAGATTCGATTTTTATGATCAATATTTCTAAGAATTTATTTTTAGAATATCCAAAATCGTACATTGGAAAGTGTCATTTAATTACACTTAAAGAAATATTAATCTTTTTATACATGAAAACCGGCCCAAAAACACTCTTACTTTTGATAATATATATATAAACTTCGGTGAAAAAAGCATTCACTACATCGTAGAAAATACCTCTGCCTCCGATAAATGGTAATGGTAAGCTCCATTAGACATTGCTCAAGTGGCTGGACATAACATAGTACCATCCTCTCCTAATTTCATACCATACCATAAATACACAATTCCTGAATATTGTTAGTGATCGACGACATCATAGGATATAGCAATTAAGAAACCCAAATATATATACTCAAATAAAATATTTTAATGACACAGATACATATATGCATCAATATTCTTGTAACTCATCAGCGCCGCGAGATGGCCACAGCTGATGTGATTATTATCAGCATAATCATTATTATAGAGGCAAAAGAACCTATTAAAGATCCAGATATTCGCTCACAGAAGTCATTGAATTGTTGACAGATTGGCAACCAATTAGCATTAGCATTCCCCTTGTGTGCCAAGTATACAATGGCTGTTGCAGCTGAAGCCCCAGCAGTGAGAAGTCCCAGCATTGCCTTTTCAAGGTTGAAATTAATTAAATTCATTAGGAAGTCATGAATATTTTCTTCAAATTATATATAATTAAAAAAAAATACTGATTTTCAGTAATTAGAATATAAGTGGGCGCCATACCGTGTCAAAGATGACCAAGATGATCCCAGCGATTTTCGCTTCACTCCGGATGAAGAGGAAGATAGATAGGGGAATAGAGAGAACAAGATATCCACATACAATAGAATTTGCAATCACAAAAAACCTGTTTGATTATTATTATCATGTTATGTAAATTAAACTTTGGAAACATGTGGAGTATATATACGAGGAATATTAATTTAAGGTATGGAAATGACTTACGTGAAGGAGGGGAGATCGTTATATTTAGCCCCGATGATGCGTTGTGTGAAAATTGTAAGTGTTTCACTAGTAGTTCCCATGGTCATAGCACTTCCAAATGTGCCAATAGCTGCTATACCTCTTAAAATGAGGTCTGCTATTGAGATCCCTCTATTAATCCCTTGTGCTGGAGTTGAAATAATTGTGGATGCTTCCCCTGACTCTACAGCTGCTTCAGCCTTCATAATTAACCCAGTCAGATTTATTTCTTTTTCTTCTTTTTTCCTGTGGTTTTTGGTTCCCCTGTTTGAAGCTTTAACTGAGGTTTTCGATGGTTCTAATTTCAGCTCAAATAGCATCAAATTAAGAGGTGAGAAAAGTAATGTTAGATATATTGTATTATTGAATTAGTACATCGAAGCAAAATTGGATTTTCTCAATGGACGCAAGGATAAGAAACAACTATAGTGGGTATTAGGTATGCCGAGGCTGAAGTAGCTTCCTTTTGCTACTCTAAGCATGCATTCTACATCTAGCTATCTGACAGCCTACATGATCTAACCACAGAAATATCTATATGTATAGGTTAAATAAAGGGGCTCAACCTCCAAAAATAGAGAAACTACGAATAAATTAGATGAGGAATTACAATCCTAACGATTCCCTGATACAGAAGATTAGCTATTCCTACAAATGAAAAATCAAAATAATGAACTTCAATCTGTATGCTAGAATGATGACGCCGTATTTTTCAACTGAATGCAGCAAATTAAAGCAAGCTTGCCGAATACTAATTTTTCTATGTTTGATTTTTGTTGTGGTGTATTTACAAGCGCCTAGGAATGTGTTACTAGCTACTTAGTTGGTAGCACCTGATTCATGGTTTCGCATCCTTCTATATACCAATTTCTTGTAATGTGCTTTTATATATATATATATATATATATATATATATATAAAAGACATATGAGGTTGAAAGAATTAAAATGACAGAAGGTAAACATAATTATTTAAAGAATTTTTTATATACATAAAAATTTAAATTTGAAATCACTTATTTAAATTATTAGAACGTTTTTCACTTAGATCATTTTTTTTTTTAATAAAATTTTAATTACGTTTATAAAGACAATTGTTTTAACTTTTTTATAAATGAATAAAAAAAAGAGAATACATAAATGACTAAATATGAATGCATGTTAAATTAAAATCATTTGATATTCAAAAATTTGATTAATTTATAAAACGAGAATCATCTATAATTACATTGGTTAAGTTTTTGGTTGATCATTCAACCATACCTTTTTACTAATATTTCCTTCAAATTATTAAGTTGATCACATAAATGAACGAGCATGCTTTTTTTTGTTGAATTAAAATAACTGATATTTAAAATCTGGTTAATTTTACCTACTATAAGACTAATTATTTATAATGAAGTCAGTTAATTTTTATTTTAGTTTTTGAGTGTCAATAAATGTAAATTAATTCACTAAGGTAACATTAATAACATAAAACTATATTTGTTTGCAATTGACAAGATTCGTTGATATATATGTATACATTTTTATCTACAGGTACACACACGAAAGGGGTCCCAATTAGACTTATCCTACAAATTTTCTGAGCTTTGGCCACCAATCCAAGGGCGGGCTTTGCCGGTTTGTACTTTCCCCGCAATTTTCGGAGTTGGAACTGCTAAAGCTGGAGTCTTAAAAATCATTGTCCACTATGACTTTCCAAATTAATAAAATGCCGCTTGAATCTTTTTCTTCAGTCTCGCTTTAAAAATTAATAAAATAAGCTGTGAAAGGGTCACAATCATTTTTTTTTTAATTTAAACTTTAAATTTGCAAATTAATTTAAAAATTAAATGGTCAAAATTACACTTTGATGACTTTGAAGGGTACTCAACAACGGAAAATTAATAGCAACGATTGAGAGGGAGTATTTTATATCCAACAGTAATCGCTAATTAAGTATCAATATTAGTGTTTCATTATCTGATGCATACAATTTAGTTATATCTCACTGAACAAGAAAATAAAAAATTTTGGGTCCATTAATTAAATAAGTATTGTCTTATGGCTTACTTACGGAGTACGTACTCTATTAAATAAATATCAAGCATCTTGTTCGGCTTTCTTTCTTTCTTTTTTTGAATATTTCAATATATATCAAATAAATGATCACATAGGATGCAACTATCTACTCAAGTAGATCATCCTTAACCAATTTCAAATCGATTAGTACTTGTACTACGTACCCAAAAATAATATATCTAAATGGAATAATATTGTTAATAATTACAATGAGATAATTCAACTTTAAAGTGCGACGTACAAGAACAAGTTGCAGTAGTTATTTAATTGATGTAAATTTTGACATTCATAGTTATTTATAATAGATGATTAAATCCAACGTTTCGTGTAATGGATGTCGAAATATATGAAAAGTTGTGAGATCCAGCAATATTAATAATTAATTAAAAAAACATATTTGATAATCCCCGACCATATAGAGGTTTTGCTCCTGAAAACAGCAACTAGTTCTAGAGATCATTAACAGAGAAACTTACTCATGTAACTCATACATATATATATATATATAACCATCACTAGCATCACCCTTTGCTCCATATTGCGATCTCCATCGTTGCCAATAGTAAACATCATAGATCTAGCATGTGAAAGTGAAATAGAGATATAGCCAAGGACAGCTTGCCGGCCATTGCTACCATACAGCGACCCAAAAAATTGTTAAAGCATTCATTTTTGGAATAAGCAATACATAGATATAGCAATGGCCATCAATGGAACTTGAAAAAATAAGACATATGTGGAGAACTTATTGCCGGCAAGTCATCCTTGGCTGCACCACAATATCTCATCTTCACATGTAAGACCTTAGATGAATTTATAAATCCAGCATTTTTTTTTCACAAAGAATCATTGCAACTCTAGAAATGGAAACTAGAGGAGAGGGCATGCTTATGTTGTGAGTTGGAGGAAGAGTACTAGAAGTGCTTTGGTTTTTAAGATGACCTAGTTGCGTTGCATTGAAGCCTAGCTAGGACTCTTTGATTCAATCATTGAGCAGCTAAAACTTAAGACCCATATAAGCCAATGGGAAACAAGAGAGAAGTAAGGAATTGAAGTTAATTATGAATTCAAGGAGATTTGTGTCATTTATAGGAATAGGAATCCAACATAAAGACACATCCACTCCGTCACACTCACATAATTAATAAGGTAAAGATTAAAGTATCCTAGTGTGGGTAATTTTTCATCAAACATAAAGGCACATCTACACGTGATGTGATGATCTTAGAAGAAGCTAGCTAGCAAGCAAGTACGAGATTTTACTGTTTTCGAATTGTTTTGGAAAACTCAGCTTCAAAGCTTGGATAAGGAAATGAAACTTATTCAGTCACCAATTTCGGTGACCTGTTCGCACTATTCAAGAAAGTTTTTGAAGGCAATGCTTAGCTTGCACATCGACGTCACTGTTTTGGGGTGATGAATTCCCAATTAAATGTTTACCATTCGTAGTTATTACACCAACCTAAAAGAATAGCACCGTGGGTCATTTCTATTTTTGTCATTTAATTTAATTCGATATATAGATTAAGAATTTTCAACCATAAGATAATAGTTTTTTTTAGTAAACAAGCATTGATTTATAGATTAAATTTAACATTAAATTTTTATAGTCAATATTCTTGAAAATTTACCGTATATTGGGAAGTGTTTTTTAATCACGTTTAGAGAAATATTAGTCTTAAAGTATACGAAAGCTAATTTGAAAATATCTTTACAGCTGAACCAAAAAAAAAAAAAAAAAAGAGTTTTCATGAGAACTTATATAACCTAAGTGATCTGCTAACTAATTAACAAATTGTTTCATTGTTGGGTGTTATTTTATATATATGCAGAGTGTTCATGAGAGGGGAAAAAATGTAAACGTTTGCCCTATAACCCTCCTTTGTTTAATAGGAAGAGTTCATTCTAAGCAGGAAAAAGATATACATGGTACGAGATTGGGATTTGGCTAGGTATGACTCTTTCTGCATGAGTTTTGAAATGAGAATAATCGTATAATTCCAAAAATTATGTTTGAATTTTTGCAAAAATCGATACAAAGATTATCATCATTCCTATATAACTCTCATATATATGGATACGATTTCGTTTTTTTTTTTTTAATTAGTATTCAATATCCTATGGGAAAATAGTCGTGTGCGTCATATGAACATGTGATTGGATCTTAGGAAAGTTCTGTTGTAGAATGCCCATTTTTAATTAGTTCTTAGTAGCTGTTGTGAAGTGTGAGCATGTGACGTAATGGAATAAGAGCAAGACAGGCTGTGAGATCTCGTGAATAATGACTATGGTTAGTCATGGGATGACATGGGCTTATGATTCCATTTTTAAGCAGAATAGTTTCCCTTCCCATCTTGAGGACGCAGTGAAATCAGCAATCCCCATTTTCCTGCCTCCTTTTCAGGCCCAAGCGACCCTGCCGTACAACACCCCGTTTCTTTTTAACTTTTTAACTTTTATGTTTCTTCCGTTGCTGGAATAAGTGCATCACTCCATCCGATAAGTTTTTTGGAGTATCATTTTGTTTATAAAAAAAAAAAATAGAGTAGAAACTTAGGGGAGTAAATTATAAATTAGTTCTTGTATTTTGAGAAATGAATTAAATTAATTTTTTTTGTTTTAAAAACTAATTATTTAATTTATTGATATTTTTTTAATTTAAGATTATTTTATTTAAAAAATACTATCTTTTCTTGTCGATATTTCATTTTTTTTACTTATTTTTTTCTTTTTTCTCTTTAAAAAATAAAAATCAAAATAAATTTAAAAAAATTAAGTTATAAGAAAATTTTAAAATCTAAAGACTAAATAATTAGTTTTTAAAATTAAAAAAAAAAGACTAATCAATTTGTTTTTCAAAACTAAATGGACTAACTTATATTATACTCAGACTTAGAGTACAGATTTATTACGAGAAGGAGACGAAAAAAATCCATACTCGAATGAAATTTTTATAATTGATCAACCTAAACTTTTGCTCTTGCAATGTCAGAATCTGGTGATGATTTTTTGCTGAAGTTTTTTTATCGGTGCTCTATCTAATGCTATAACTGCCCACCTTTTTCTCTTCATAGTCCGGTTACTTTTTGGTTTTTTCGGCCAATGACTATCTTGAAGCATGTGTTTTCTGTTGATTTTCTTTGAGTTTCATCTTTTTTTCTTTTTCTTTTTTCTCGTCTTTTAGAATCATATATTTGGCTTTTTCCATCTCTTTATTTAATTCTGTATGCTCATCTTTATTTTTTTAAAAAATTCCTAAACAAAAGGATCAAATAATTTATTTTCTTAACTAGTTGTCTTAAAGTAAATTTCCATTGGTGATAGAAGGTTGCGGATGAAATAGTAAAAAAATTTTTTTTACTCATTAGATCAAGAGTTTAATTTTTATCTTAATTTTTTTTCTCTTACTCGTATAATATTTAACATAAATTATTGCTGGTTCAAAAAATCCAATCTTCAGAATCAATTAAAAATTAGATGTGAAGGCTGACTTTGGAATACTCACTATCTATAAGTATATGAAAAAAAAAAAAAAGATTAAATCTCTATTGAGTCCTTAATGAAAGTAAAATATTAGTTATTTCTCAATTATTAAATCCTCCCTTTTGCATCCGTTAACATTTTCGTTATTTTACGTAATTAAACAATGCCAGAATTTGATTTTTTTATTAAATATTGGATGATTTTATACAAAAAAAAATACCGAATTGAAAAATATCTCCACATTGATAATGAAATTAAAAAAATATATATATTATTGCTTTTAAAAGAATGTGAACATCAGAATGATTCTTCCTCTAAAAGAAACTAATAAGTTTAGAATGGGCCTGCTCTTAATCGGGCTAACCTTGTCTCCTGGTCAGGCCTTTTTATTCTCGGCCTGCTTTTGAATTGTAGTCTAGTTGGGCTTTGTCTCCGGTGTATCACATAGCCATCTGTCGTAGTTATAACATTTTCGATGTTTATGGGATCTCGAACACAAACCATGATTAACGAACCAAAATATTGGTTTTAGACTGAAAATAGTTAAAATAAAAAACAAAACAATATACATAATCATAAATGCACAAAAAGGCAGAAAAAGGCTTATTAGGACTATAGGCTTAAAACAAAGAGCCTAATGCATGGACCAAAGGCCCATGAGAGGCCTAGCTACCCCTAAGAAAACAGAGAGAGAGAGAGATTTTGTTCTATGCGTGGTCTTTAGGCTTCTTTTTGGTAGAATAAGAACAGCTGAATTCGGGTAGACCCGTATTTGTAGCATACACTGCCGCCATCCAAGCTTCCTGGTCCGATCATCAATCATAATCAGGTGATAAATATTTTTGATCTATCATGACCTCTAGTATTTATAAGGTTAAATAATTATTAGACAAAGATTATCGGTGTTTTCCTTTTTTTCTTCATATAATTTTTTTTATTCTTTTGATATTAATTTGGATATCTGGCCACTGCCCGAAGCAGCTCTCTAGTGCTAGCTTTATATATATATATATATATATATATACTCTGTAGTACGAGAATACGTAGGTGCAACCAAAAAAATGTTGCAGATGCTTATAGGACTTAATTATCGCAATAGCATAGAGTTAAAGATTAGACACCAGATTTTCTTTGGAACTAACATGTCTTCTCTAATTATTATCAATATTGTTGTTGTTGTAGCGAATGTCGAGCACGGGTATTGAGGACGTAAAGGACCAAGAGCCCAGCGTTGATCCTGCTAAAAATCAAGCCGAAAACGAGGCGGACCAAAAAGAATTGGATCAAAATAGTGAAAATCCCATGCCCTCACACGAGCAGGAGGTAAATTGCAGTGCAACTTCTTTATTTCGCACTTCTGGTTAGAATTTATAAGGTTCTCAATCAACAAATGTCATATTCTAGTTTGAGTAATGTTATACAAATTAATTAATAAACAAATTACACAAATTGATTTGGTTGGTATTTGTTTTCAAACTTGACTAATCTTTTATTATTGCTTTTGGGGTCTGCAATTCACCATTATCGGTTGCCACATTTGTTTGTGTTGTGTAAATATCAGCATAATTTGTTCCTTTGTAATGTAACCAAACGAGATAAGAAATGCAATCTCGAGAGCGCGGAAAAATGTTGTGCTTTGGCCACACTTTTGACACTAATATGAACTCATTGGCTCTCAAGCTGCTTGTCCTGGAGAAAAAAATATAGATTTCCTTGATATGCAGGCTAATCGAAGTGTAACATTTTATTATTATTCATCGTGGGTCATTTGGGCTTGCTTGTTTTGACACCTTTTGCAGGAGGAAATAATCAAGAAAAAATATGGAGGAATGTTACCAAAGAAGCCACTGATATCCAAGGTAACTATCATTAGTTCCTACTCTCCTTTGGTAATTCATTTGAATTATCTAACAAGATAAGGTGAACACTAACGAGTTTCATTATGTTCTAGGACCATGAACATGCATTTTTTGATTCTGCTGATTGGGCACTGGGAAAGGTAGTCATTTGAATTATTATTATTATTATTATTTTGGGAATTGTGATGGCTGTCATTATTTATAACTCTAATGTCGAGTTTGCAATTCCGAGTTAAATTATAGTGTCACTGTCCTGTCTTTCAACTTGTTCAACAGCAAGGAGCTCAAAAACCCAAAGGACCACTTGAAGCTCTACGACCAAAGCTTCAGGTATTGCATGCTTTCTGTTGAAGTCTTGAAAAAGATTCCCCGGCACACTTAGTATTTCAGTTGCATAGTTATTTCCTACTAAAAAGGGCATGCCATGATCATCCTCCCATCTCAAATTGAATCTAGGCAATGTACTCGGATTTTTAAGGTCTGCCACCCAAAACCAATCCTGGTTTTTAAGCCAGGCGGATTGACTATATATATGAAGAGTTTTAACAAATGAATTTCGTCCCACCGAGACGGCCCTCGCTGGTTAAGCATTGTTTTTCTGTTTCAGCCCACTCCGCACCACCAAATGCGTTCAAAGCGCTCAGTTTATGCTCCTGCAGATGATGATGATGGTGGTATGTTGCCAAAAAAAAAAGTCAAATATTTGCCAATAATTGCCCAAATACCGCGTCTACCTCTTCTAATTTCATTTATTTGCAGCAGAGTCTGTCAGTAATAGCACACCTCCGGAGGATGAGAACTGCGCATCACAAAGTGGGGACGATAAGAACTCTGCTCCTGAAGATCAAACCTGCTACTCGTTGCCTGTTTGATTTTTTCATGTTGGTACTCCGTTTTGTTTTCTAAAATATTGAGATTTAAACCATTATGAGATGCTTACAAGGTGCTTATGCAATAAGCAAACCATTCAATTGTTGTTATACTAACGTCACGGTCGTTCGAAAAGAATACTTCTTAACTACGGATCCTTTCGGCTCTTGTTTCTATTTTGGTACAAATCAGTATTACAAAGAGCAAATCAGTATTACATCTAGCGATGCATACGAAACCACTCCTGATCTTAACATGCTTGTCCGTGTATAGGTTAAAGTCACATTTTACCCCTATACTCTAGCTTTTTTACAGGGTATGCTATGCAAATTATCTACTAGATAGTATTCGGTTCAAAGAGACCAAGTCCTTCAGTTGCACTAGTGGATGGAATCATTGAATAACCTTTTAAATTTTGGTTACCAACAAAGTGAATTCATTGTTTGGATAATAAAAACACTTCACTAGGCTGGATAACTTTTGGATACTAAAACAAGACTAATTCACAAGAAGCATATCGAGAAATACCCAAAAAAGAAAAAATCAAAATTTCACCATACTGACATTAGCTTAAGTGTGTTTTCCTTCAGGGACATGAACACTAGCATTCAACAACAGCCCCAAACCGGATACAGTTAATCCAAGGTTGTAGGCATGGTTGTGAACATCGTTGATCAAGGCCAAAAATAGGGGGAAAGGCAGGAGAGAATGAACTCATTAGGCTATTCAACAGTTGCGATAGAACCATCAGCAACCATCTGATTCATGCTAAAAACCTACCTAAACAGATATTACAGGCCATTTAAGAAGGGAAGTATTCAAAGAACGGCAGCAGACAGCATTATTCACCCCTCGCTATATAACCAAAACACAAAAGTTAATTACTCATTAGTTTCCTGTCAATTCAATGCACTGTCAAATCAGTTACTCAAATTTGACTCCAAAAACTCCAACCACATCAAACCCTATATACACACATATTTAACCACCTTGGAGAGACGAGGATGTAGACCAACCAAGATTGGATACCTTCTGCTATGCTGAAACATAATATAAATCGATAAATCAAAGTTCAAAAAGTGTGCTTTCATGAGAGAACTAAGAAACCAGGTGTAATGCAAATATAGAAATATAACTATACCAGATACAAGTGGTGAGCAAATATGATTTGATGGATTACTGTTTTCTACAGTGATATTTGTTATATTATGTTCCCATTAATAAGATGAAGATCGCTCAACATGGTGATCACACCAGTGTACACCCAAAAATAGAGCACTCTCACTTGTTTCTTGGGTCTGTTTCCATACACGAGATGAGATGAAGTACCTGTGCCATAAAAGAAGGTGGATACGGTGCAAGGTTTCATATTAGTTTTGGGAAAATTAGACTTCTGTCTACTTATCCAACTTTAAATTGCTGCACATCAAATAGCCAATGATATCATGCCTGACCAACTTTTTATTATTGCATTATTATTATTCAGCAGCCAGCCAGCTTGCTAATTACCAATAAGGTAGCCAGGTCATGACTTTGTACGAACATCCTGCTTACTAAAAAATAGGAGCAGAGAAACATACCTGCTGGTGATGCAAATGAAATGGTTGATGCATCAAACCTGCCACATTAATTACCCAAAGGACTTCAATCCATCCATCCACGGCTAATGGACACGAACACTAAGAAGCAATGTAGAGGACATGCCTACCCCCAAGCTGATTTTATCTTCACCATGCCAGCAATTGGTGAATCAGCTCAAACAGGGATGAGTACAACTACCTCCCAGTTAACTAATAGCCCGACAGTGATTTCCCCACGGCTTATGAAATAAACCTGAAGACAGACCATCAAGAGACGTGCCTTTAAAGCAGTTTGAAATATTAGAACATTTTCACATCAGTATTTCGAGCCAATATTCATGTAACAATTCAGAAAAAAAATTGAGATGCAAAATATTAGACAAGAGATCAAATGTTGAATAAATTGAGGAAATTCATGAGTTCCCTTCCCACCATAAAGGTAACAGCAACCAATGGGCCACAAAGAGATAATAATGGCAAACTAAAAAAGAAAATGTTAATTGAAATTAAAGAATGCCTGCACCGTGAATGAGATGGTAAATATAATCCAAATTATAGCAGCCTAAAGTTTTCAGGGCCCTTCCATAATCTGTCAAACCACAAAAATCAATAACTAATACAAGCATATGCTATCAGAATTCAGTTATAAAAAAATTTCCCTCAAAAAACCAATGAAACAAATTCATGAGTGCCAATCACACATCTTTTACAGAGAAATACATAACATTATTGTTACACATAAGCAGGCTGATGGCATGTACCATCTGAAGCACGATATAAAGCTTTGATAGTTACTGGTATCAAGGTCCACAAATGATTGGATGGTGAATTGCATCAACAGATATCCAAAATAAAGCATCTGAGGGTGGGCCAAGGTGAAGCACAGTTTTGTCAAGGCCTGTTCATCTGATCTTTTGTTACTTAGGCTGAAGGCTTCATCAAAGGGCAAAAGGCGGCATCAGGATTTGTAGTCACTGCTGTTTAGATTGTACAGGGAAGGCAACAGAGGCAAAAGGCACATTAGAATTCTAAAACTAGGATGGCTGGGTTAGATATCAATGTGTAGTTTTGTCCTCTTCAATCGCAAAGAAAACAGAAAGCAGCACGCTTATTGAATCATAAGGATAGGAAAGAGGAGGATGGAAAAATTATCTACCTGTTTGGCCCTAGAATACAGGATTAATACCCATGATGTTTTCTTTGGGAAACAGGGTTCTGACCAGATAACCTGGTAACAGGAGTTAAAAATCAGGCAAGGAAGAGATTATGAATACTGACAACAGATGAAGATATCCAAATACATTTCGCTTTAATAAACAATAGAAAAATGTAACAGTAATAAATTGCACCAGTATTGAACTAAAAACTTGAGCAAAAATGTTTCAAACAAAAGCCAAGCAAAAGAAATCTTACCCAGCACCGCCAGAACGACCAGATGAAAAGCCACCATATGCTCCATAGCTGCTTTCGCCACCAATCTGAATGGACAATCACACAACAAGGCATGGTTATTGATCCACTGATGTCCAAAGTAAATCCCCTCTACACACACGTGCAAACATAAACATACCATTGAACCTCCATTACTTCCATAATTATCACTTGGGTGCACATCACGAGAACCATATCCACCAGAGGAAGAAAGGTATCCGCGTCCACGTGATTGACTGTCTCGGCTTCCATATTTTGGACCATCTGATGCATCTAGTGACACAGGAATATATGGAAGAGCTGGTGGAAATGTAGTTAGTGCTCCATCCCTTCCAAATAAATTGGATTTCAACCTCAAAATCACTTGTAAAAGAGCATTGCTAGCGACTTCAAGGCTTCCGGTGATCTGATCAGCATTAAAAAACATAATCCCCATCACATTACAAAGGTTGGATCAAATATGCTTGAAAAAACCACATACAAAAAAAAGAACAAAAAGAACAAAAACATGCATGCAAATGTAGCAGGTTAAAAACACTTTCACACTAGAACAGTACAAGCATTCACCTGCACCATCTCATCATCTTCACCAGCAACCTTAGGAAGATTGTCTTCCGAAATAATTCGGATGTTTGCCCTTGTTAGATTCCTCATTTCTGAAATAATTGCCCCACCTTTCCCCATAAGACATCCAATTTGTGATCTTCCAACAAGCAGACGGGTAGTGATTACAGAATCACCTGATTCCTTTTCAGTTTTGTCACTGCACCGTGGCTGCAAGCGCAGTGCTGCATTCATGGTTGAAGATTGATCTTCAAAGAACTACAAGATAAATGGTTAGGTCATCAACAATATAGAATTCCATCAAGATTGTTTTACATTGAAAACAATAGAGGGCTTGTTAAACAAGAAAGCATGCTGACCTCCTTTGCTGATATAAATATTATGCAATCATCTCCTTCAGCACCTGAGCTATCAACTTTGATAGAAGCCCTAGATTCCTGTCGAATTTGTTTGATGATACCACCACCTTTCCCAATCACACCGCCAATGTTTGCTGTGGGACACACTAAACGAAGAGAGAATTCTTTTGCAGAAGCTTCATCTCTCTGATCAGGATAAAAGGATGATGACCAACCACCTTTATAATTGCCGTATAGACCCAAAAGAGGGGCTCCAGCATTTGGAGTCACAAACATGCCACCAGATTGATACATGTTAGCTGAAGAAGACAATAACAAGTGTTGTGACCGAGATGGATTCTCATGAAGGCGAGTTGCCACTTGGTAAAGTGCCTTCCTCACAACGGAAGGTTCTCCATATATCTGTATTACATCAAAAGCTCACTGTTCTCAGTAAATATATCAGCATCCCACAGCTATTGCTGAGAAAGCAATTAATCATGAAATGCATGTCTTAGCTGAACTCACTAATTCACTACCAAACAACCCTAGAAATTTTCGTTCAGAATCTATGTTTGCTTTTTGAAAAATGGAAAGGAAAAGGCATAGCCAGGCATTCAACTGTTATCATCGGTGGACACAACATGCTGCATTTGTAATGAGTTCACGAAAAGAAAACATGTTTACAAAACAAATTAAATTCAAACAGCTTCATTATCAACGGCACAAGCACACAGGCTAATTCGTTTGTAGCATTCTTGTTTTAAATAAAGCTCAATGCATTCATAAGTTCCAGTATGGTACCACAGCAAGGAAAACAATAACTTACCAAGAGAAGCTCATCAGTACTCAAGGCCAAAGGAGGCAAATGCTCATCCTTGGTAATCCGAATCTGCGCACGTGTCTCACTCCTTATATTCTGAATAACTTGTCCACCCTTCCCAATAACACACCCAATTTGATCCGTTGGCACAAGCATTCTGACCGTAACTTGCTGCACCTCCCCAAACTTATCCTCCTCCTCTTCCTCCTCAGCAGCAGCAGCATTATTCAAGTCCTCAGCAATAACCCTGTCATGAACCATAAAGAGCGCATCTTGCGCAGGACAAATATACTCGCCAGTTTCTCCAAAAAGATTAGTTTCTTCACTGGAACTATAAATAGTAACAATTCGCTCATCATAACCCGGCATTGCCTCACTAATCCTAACATTTGACTTACTATCAGCCCTTAACTGCTTAGCAATCTCTCCACCTTTACCGATAATACTACCAATCTTTCTCAAAGGGCATAAATAACGATAGACCGTATCTTCGTTACTAATAGTATGCTGGTCAGAAGCGTCATCTCCAGGGTTTCTTCTTTTACCCCCACCATAATCAGATTGTGAATGTTGTGATCTTTTGCCATAGTCATTCCTTTGACCAGCCATTATTATCAGCAGCAAAAAGAACCAAAAAAAAAAAAAAGAGCAACCCTTTAACTGCAAGCACAAAAATCCAATTAAAAATTAAAAAAAGACAGTTTTTTAGATGTGAGTAAGATAAACAGGTTTGTGTCTTTAATGATAATCATAGATCTGGGATTTGATAAGAAACAGTTCAATAATAATTATGCAACATAAATAAATAAAGGAAATTTAATGGAAGAGGGAACTGAGAGAGAGAGAGAGAGAGACTAACACGTGAAGCGAAGATTGTAGAGCGAGAGAGACTGTCGTGCTGTGGTTTCTTAGATTTTTTTGCGGTGGAAAAAATAAAAGGGTTTTGAATGTATGTAGAAGTATGCGTGAGAGAGAGAGAGAGAGAGAAGGGGCAAATCTGACTCTGCAAAATATTTAGTGGACGGCAGAGCATTGGATCCTAGGGTTGTACCGTATCTTTTCTAGATTCCTTATGCGAAATTACTGAAATAGCCTCATCCTGTTGTGTGGATTTTTTTGTTTTTCCAGCTGAGTTTCGCCGGAATAAGAAGGGCAGATGGTCGGTTGATGAATGTTGCAAAATTATGAAATATGAACAGGTTAAGTACTAACTTTGTATTATTTTTATATTTGAATGCATTAATGCGTGACCTTTTCGGAATGACATATAGCAGAATGTGTGTCTAGTTTAATGATTATTGAGAACAAAAAATATATATAAAAATTGGCTTTATATTCACTGTATGCGCTTTGACAAATCATTTGAAATCCAGTACTGAATCATGAATCAAGCAAAATGTGTATTTAGTTTCATAGATTTTTATGTTAATCCAAATAAGTTTTAGAATGCTACAAAACTTTGCAAAAAAAGAAATGATATTGTTTTTAAATTTCTTGCCACTAAAACCAGATAAGCAATGAAAAATATATTCGGAACAAGAAACTCTTAAAAACCCATTCCGATTCTGAGCTGATGTAATATTAACATCAATTTTAATTTTTTTTTACTATTTCAATATGTTTTTTTTTCTCAATAATTTTGAAGGAGAGTTTTTTACTATGTGTTAGTGTAGAACAATCACGTATTAATTGATATTGACTGTATCAGTATTTAAATGCGGTTTTCTTCTTTAACAAATCTAATGATGCTGATTTCTTCAAGTATTTAAAACCGATCCTTTAACTGCAAGTACAAAAATCCAATTAAAAATTAAATACTCAAATTGCAGTTTTCTTCTTTGACAAATCAAATGATACTGTTTTTTTGGTGATTAAAACAAAAACAAAAACTGAATCTAAGTGGTTGAGTTGAAACTTGAAAGGCTTATTCTGTTGTGTTAGTACTTATTGTACGATATACAAGTTCAAATCATGCCAGGTTGTTGAATTTATGTTACACAGAGACATTTTCTCTATACATATATATATAGAGAGAGAGAGCACACGATTAGATGAATTGCGATGCATATAGTTTAACTATTAACTTTTTTTTCCCCCTAATCTAGGATATATTGTTTTGAATCGTTTATAAATAAACAAATTTGAATAATAATTATTAAAATGTTTGATTTTTTAAAATCTGATAGTGTTTAAATTACAATTAAATTAGTTTATTTTATTTTTAAACCATAAAACTGAATTGTGTTTTAATATTTAATAGTTGAAATAAGAACTATCAGAAATAATAATCACTAAAAAAATTTAACTTGCATCAATTTTTATTTAGAAGCATAGTTAGAAATTAAAATGATATGCTTTGTGTTACTATAAGAAAATTCCATATGTCCAGGAAAACTACCAATGGTCTGAAGTGGCCCATGCTATAAAAAAGAAGTAGATAAATAACTTACAACCTGATTTTATTTTTATTGCTTCTGCCCTTTTCCTTAAAGACATGGAAGGTATGACTCTGGTCTCTGGCTATGAAAGATATCTGAAGTGGCCCATGGTGTGAAATATCCTTCATTAATTATTGTCAGGATTATAGCACAATTATCTTTTATGTTTCAGTTCATATATGACATTTCCATCACATAAAGCATACAACCCTCGTTACGATGATCCTTCAATCCTCGCTCTTTACCTTCAGCTTCACCACTTACTGCAGCACCTCTTCTCATCAAACTTCAACTCCCACAATCACAAACCTTCTGACTTCTGGAACCAGGCAATCCGATCCACCAGACAGCTCAGGGAGATCAGGAAAAAACAATAGGGAGCTATTACGTGCCAGCAGCAGATTTTGCCCATGTGGAAGAAGGCATTTTCTTGAAGCAGCATCAACTGCTTTATTTCCTATACGTCCATCAATCGCTTCTGATAATTCACAGCCTGATTATAAGGTTTGCGTATCTTAATTTGCCCCAAAAGCATGCACTATTGAATGGCGATTACAAAGATATCAAAACCTTGGATGCCAATTTACTTTCATATTCTTATTATTATTTGATGAATAATTTCATTCATTAGATCTAACGCAACTAAGTAGGAGCTCATCCCTTCTACAAATCTCAAAGAGGGTCACCAACAATCATGCTAAAGACCAATTTTCTGCAAATTGCAGAAAACTTACAGTCGATAACGGCTCTATAGCAAGCTTGTTTTATAAAACCTACACTTTACAAGTTCAATAATCCAATTTGACAAATCTGTATGAGCAATCCTTTCACTATTGTGGATCCTTCTGTTTCTTTCTTTCAGTTCTGTTATCGACTGTAGAAAGATTAACTTCGCAGATGAAAACTTGAGTTGCGCAAGCTCAATGATGTAACAGACTCTATGAACCTAATTACAATGTCAAACTTTGTCTGTAATGTTTGCCAACAGAAGTAGAAATTGACCATTTTAAGTAGGTTACAAATTGTGTTGGTTAGCCCACACCGAACTAGTGGGCAGGATGGAGATTGCTGTTATTGTTCATTTTAATGTGTGAGAGCAGGGTGGGAATAATTTTAGTATGGATATAATGAATACTGTAACACTCGAAACATATTTGCAGACAGTGTTAAATAGACTTCACCCTCCAAGACCAGATTGGTACGAGGAATTTTATGCATCTGTACTGAATTCTGCCATGGAACCCTATGAAGCAGAGGTTAATGCTACTCTTGTTAAACAATTTTCCTTGTAGGGATTATAGTTTTTGGCCTCCATTTGATGATATATTCTTTCGTTTTTGGGGGGTCTAAGGTTGCAGCTTACAAGTCACAGCTTTTTTCTAATTTGAGAGGAAAGGCCAAGAAAGTGTTGGAGATTGGCATAGGCACTGGTCCTAACCTCAAATATTATGCCAATGATGCTGATATCCAGGTTTTCGGCGTGGATCCTAACACAAAGATGGAAAAATATGCGCAGGAAGCAGCAGCGGCTGCTGGTCTCCCACTTTCGAACTTTGAATTTATACAAGCAGTATGCATGTTTCTGCCACGAAACTATCAATTCCAATAAATTTCTAGACATTGGACATACATTACTATACAATGGTTGAGTAGAAGAAAAGGGACTTGAATTATTAGAAATCATTAGTTTATGATTCACGTCACTTTCAACTAATGAACTTTCTTCATTACCATGGTCTAATATTGTTATCGGTATTAACATTGATAACCTTCAAGTCAAATGTTTATCTGATCATGCTATAAAACTATCAATTTCATTTCTAGCCTTTACTATATGTTGAGGCATCTGTATTGATGAAAACTCCTTGATTTTATGTGTGAAGCTGCTGTTTTGAATCAGTAGCTAGATCTTTAGTCTTTTACTCTCTTTGCCAACAAGGGTGCGGGTCATCAACTTGTGTTTTATGATTCTATTCAAATTTTGATCTTATCATCTGTTTCCTGAATTATTTTAGATTATTGTAATACGAAAATTGAAAGCTGTCGTACTGTTCTTCATCAATTTTGACGGTCCTGATTGTATTCAGGTTGGGGAAGCTATACCATTAAATGATGCTTCTGTTGATGCTGTTGTTGGCACTTTGGTACTATGCTCAGTTAAAGATGTTGTTCAGACACTGCAAGGTAATTGATTTTAACAACCTTTTGGTTTCTCCAAGTAAACAAACTTCATATTCAGCAGAGACAACTTCCTGAACTGGAAATAAGTAGTTAACTTTTGAAGTTTTAGCTATTAAAATTATACTTGTATCATAAGAGTATGTGGTGATCGAAAAGTGTTCTGCTTCGTGAAAAGTCAAAATGCCCTTAAAGCCGTTTCTGGAGGTCAATGCTTATAATTTGTTAGGGTCAATCTTATTGCTTGAATGTTTCTGCGATAGAACTAATTTGCAATTGCAAAGTTAGTCCAACTAATTAGATGAAGTATGATATTCCCAGCATCCCCAAAATTTGTACCAAACCAACCTTTTCTCTTTGCCTGGTGCATTATTGCAGCTAAGATAATCAGAAGACTCAAGTTGCTAATATTAAACTTGAACCTTTGTGTGTAGAGGTAAAGAGAGTGCTTAAACTTGGTGGGCTTTACTTATTTGTGGAGCATGTGGCTGCAAAAGGTCTAGTGGACTAAACTTCTAAGTAATTCTTTCATTGTGAGCCAGGTTGATCTCGTCTAATTTTGTTGTTGATGTTGTGCTGGGTGATGCAGATGGAACAATTCTTAGACTCCTACAAAGTGCCCTTGATCCATTGCAGCAGACAGTTGTTGATGGTTGTCACCTATCTAGGGATACAGGAAAGGAAATATTTAAAGCGGGCTTCTCAGATGTTGATTTAAGCACCGCTTTCCTATCTAATGCCTTTTTTGTCAATCCTCATGTGTATGGAATAGCTAGCAAGTAACGTTAAGAGGAAACATTTATCCCATAAGAGAGAACAGAATGATGGATTTGATGGCCACCAAATATTTAGACAATTAGTAATCGAAACCAAAATACCGAAGTTAAATTCGGTTTGATTTCAGTTTTTCATTTAGACAATTTGATTAACCGAAAATCAAACCGAATAATCGTTTGATCATCCTAATTAAAACAAGTTGACATCAGATTTATACTCAATTCCTTGCATTTTATAGCGTCTGAATCTGAATTATGTTTATTAGGATTATTCAAATTAATTTGAATTGTTGAAAGTTTTGGCTAGACTAAATTAGATTCAAGCAAAATTACGAACCCATTAGTTGTTAATTTTTTTAAAAAATTAGGTAACTCGTTTCTTTTTTGTTAATTATTCGAATTACCCAAACAAATAAGGTAATTGCTCCAATCATCCGCTTTTCTAAATTAAAAAAAATTGAATAATCCTAGTTTTTTTTTTTTTTTTTAATTTAGAAAAGCAGATGATTGGAGCAATTACCTAGGATTTTATGGAAGAGTTAGTGGGAGAACATTGTCATTTTATGTAACAATTATCATTAGCCCATACAAGAATAAAGTTAAATTAAGAGTTGCAGGGGATGTTTGGGGTGAGTAATATTTCATTTAAATCAAAAACCAAATTCAACACAACCAAAATATCAAAATATCAATTTTGGTTGGGTTTTTAACTCAATTAAAAAAAAAAAAAAGGGGGGAAAAGTTAATTTTTATTTTTTTTGGTTTTTGAAATTTTTTTTCTGTTTAAGCCAAAAACCAATTTTCATTTTATTTTTTACTTATTTTTTTAAGTTTTAAAATAAAAAAATACCTTAATATTATTATAAATATATGATGGATTGATAGTATTTTTGATCTATTTATATATATTATTTAAAAAAAATCCAAAACGATTTTCTTTGGGTTTTCAATTTGGTTTGGGTTTTGAAATTTTTTTTTCGGTTTATGGTTAAACCGATTTTTTTTTATGTACTTATTTTTTGAGTTTTAAAATAATATTAAAAAAATCAAAAAATCAATACCTTAATATTATTATAAATATACGATAGATTGATAGTGTTTTTTATATGTTTATATTATTTTAAAAAATTTTTAAAAATAGTTTTAAACTAAAAAATCATAATCGAAATCCAAAATTTTGGTTTTAAACTGAAAAATCATAATCAAAAACCAAAATTGTGGTTTTAAAACCGAATGGTAATTCAGTTCGGTTTTAGTTTTTTATGTAGGTTTGTTTAATTACTAAAAATACTAAAATAAAAACTGATTTTACTATTCATTTTCACTATCTGAAACACTATACACGCTCTCATAAATCAATATTCAAACACTCACAAATCATTATTCATTTCACTACTCATGTCTTTTTTTAGCACTTTGGTCCTCAGTTTTTCTATACTTTTTTTTTCAATTTCAAACTTTAATTGTATTGTCATTTGGTCCCACTTTATTTTAATGTTTTATTTTAATTATTTTTATTGTTTAAAATTTATTACTTTAATTTTTTATTTTTTTAATATAGTTATATGTTATTAATATTATGATCATATTATAATAATATAATTTTTCTACACTAAGCATTTACTAGTTATTTATTTATTTTTTAATTAAAGAATTAAAATAATGTTTTGGCTTAACCAATCAATGATTCAAATTAATATAATTTTTTATTTTAATATTATTCATTTTTTGTAAATAAATATATAAAAATTAAATTCATATTTTTTCAAAAATCGATATTCTCATCAACATTAAATAAAAAAAATTTATTCAATTCGACATAAGCTTTTAACAATTATTATTTATGTTTTTCGACACAATCTTATGAAATACTAAATATTTTTTAAAAAAATTATTTAATTTTCTTTTTAGTTAATAATCTATGGATTAACAAGGATAAATTCATTTTCTAAAAGAAAAATTATGAAAACACAAATAAGAAATAGTTAAATACAAAATTTTTGATAAAAAAAATTATAAATATTTTTTTTCACTTTTGATTTCATATGTTTTTATAGATTCACATAATAAAACGGACTATCAAACTGAAATAATTTCTCTAAATAATTTTATATATTTTATCCAACTCGTAGTGTTGCACTAACGAAAAAACTAATTGAAAAAAAAACAAAAATATTAAAAATTAAACTAAAAAACTGAATGATCTCCTCTAGGAATATTTATTTGCAAAACATCCTATTTATGGAGTATAACAAGAGTATTGTACCTTTTACATTTAAACATATATATGATTTCATCCAAATGTCAAGGACTTGAATTTATGAATTTTTATCAAATAAATGTGAAGGTTGCGGGTCCCAATCTGTATTGATAGCAAAACTAAGTATATATTTTTCCCTCAAAATCCTAAATTCTGAGTTCCACGAAGAAAAGTTAAGTGACATGTTTTATCAATGACCGAATACAATAACTAGAAACTACTTTCAAGCATAATTGAAATATGTTAATTCCTCCAATAAAAAAAGAGATTTTATTAATTCCACTCATATCTTCCATGTCCGCCACCGTAATTTTTACTTTCTACAGCCTAGCAAAGATGATGCAATTGAAACTTAGGAAAGTAAGGATGAATCCCATACAAGATACTAAGATGGAAGCCCAAGAAAATTTCGCTGTAAGAAAATAGACGAAAATATTTAAATATGCCAAGTTATATATATATAAATAAATTTTATTTTTAAAAAATCAGGCTAAATTTTGTTTTAGGAAAGAGGACCAAGTTGTTCATCTTTAGGAGGGAGGGAGGGAGGGAAAATTCCCTACCATTAGAGGGTTAAACTTATTAAGAAAAAAATATTTTATGGGAACGAAAATAAATTTTCATTTTTCAGGGATTAAATTAAAATTTTACAAAACAGTGACCCAATTGGCAATACACTATGTTACTAGGGGGAGGGGGCAAAAGTTTACAGTTTTTGGGAGACCCAGGTAATATCAAAACTTGGTCCTTTTTGGTCCTTTCATAAAACAAAAGGTTATCCTTGCACACGTAAAGGTGACGATTGCAATGTTAGGGTTTACATCAGTACTTGAAAAGCCCTAACCAATTTCCGACCCAACTTGTATCCCGCTTCTACGCTAATAAATGAGAAAAACCCACAAAACCAATTTCCACAGCCACTCGAATTTTCAAAATTTGCGGTCGCATAAGGTTTGTCCTTGGGGACCATCCTTTCCCTTTTACATGTTCATGTGCTATGCTTGCTCTACCCAAACACTTGCACATTGAAGGCACAACATGACAACTTGCTTCCTTCATGGGATGCCTAATGTTTGCCATATCCATAACCAATCTTACGATCGGGCCCAATTGGATCATTACTAGCCATGTTCTTGTTGTTGTCATTTTCTATCAATTTGCCGGCTTGACATAAACTCCTAGTCTTAGAAGATAAAATTTGTGAAGTAGAGAAAACGATATGAAAGTGACCACGCGTTTGAAATACAATTTTCTTTCCAAAAGAAAATGACAGATGAATTCGCTCACATGGGCTCTTTATCGTAGCCATTGCACTGGAAATTAAGAGGTAGTTAAGTGTCTCAAGAAACTTTGGTCCCTTGATCCAAACAAAATCTAAAGAAGAATATTCCGAGTGGTTATAAGACTTCGCCCTTGTAAAATTTAAAATTCTTGCAGTCCAAAATCACGGCAAAGGTACAAAGTCAAATGAACCAATTAATATTTGTTCAAGACTGAATTTGAATTTACCTCCTAAAACCAGCATATAGTTTAAAAGAATTGTTCGACTTGGTAATTTGCTTGTAGGACGCTGTGACTGGTTATTCAGGAGACGTGTGACCTCCATGTGAAATGAGGGTCCATGACGTTGCTTTTTTCTTTCTTTTTCTTTTATCAGCATAGCACATTAATTGCAAAAGCAATAGATCCATCAGTCTAGGGATTCGATTTTTATAGTTAATATTATGAGAACTTATTTTTAGAATATTTGAAATTATATATTGAAAATTTCTCCTTAATCTTGAGATACACAAAAAATAAATTGAAAATATTTTTATTATTGAAAAAAATAAAAAATAAATAAAATGCAGGCCACTGCTTGTGAAAACAGTTGCCTGGCAAGTAGTATGAAGTGTTTATAGCAGCAAACTAACTTGATGAGCCAATTGCCTGTTCGGTATGAGATGTTTCTTCGAAAGGCCCAGGACATGAAATAGTGCTCTAATTAAGTTTGTTAAAAGGGAAGTGGGTTTGCTTTTCGTTTAGTGCTTGACATGATAGTCATTGAAGCATGGCTAGGCCCTTTTTTTATTTCTTGATGGAGGACATTACGGTGTTGATCTTATTGCGGTGCAAGGCTGGATTCAATTGCCTTTTTCATGGTCGTTTTATCTTTTCTTCTCTTTCTCAAACGAAAGGTTAATGTCTTAATAAATCACCAAAACTTTTCTCTAGAAATTAATGTGTTTTAGATTTAAATATTAGCCAACTTCAAAATTAATTTGAAATTTCATAAATCAAAATCCTTTTCAATATGAATTTTCCATTAATGATTTATTGAAATTAACAACTAGAATTTTACTTGTCTACACATTCAAATTTTACGGGTTAGTTGTTTTTTTTTTCAATTTTTTAGAAAGCAAATAGAATTTTAAATATTATTAAAAAGAAAATTCAAAAAAATAAAAAGAAGCAGCCTCGCAACACCAAGCTTGCTCGTGGGAGGAAGAGCAGACAGATAATACGTCGCTTGCTTGGAAGATGCGTTGTTTGTCGTCATCTTTTTAGAAAAATCATATCACCATTCACCACTGCTAGAAAATTTATAATACATAAAGAATAATTAATAACAAGTACAATAATTATTTTATAGATCTATTTTGATGAGATATATATATAAAAAGAAAAAAGAAAAAATTAAAAAAAAATTAAGTAAACGTGCAAATCTTTTTATTATTTTTTATAGATTCAAATGTAATTTAATATGT